CCTTAGGTAAAGGTGGAAGGAGATTTGAAATTTGCGATTTCTGTGAAATAATGTTATTTATTCAAAGTTATAATCAGCATCAACATGAAATGTTTATTGAAATTAGCACTAAGCTTGTGGGTATTTAACATAAAATAAACTACTGAAATAAATGAATAATAATTTATGTTTACAATCAGAAAGATATTCAAAACTAACTGTTAGATATATGAATAGTTAAACAGATTGATATGCTTTGATTATAATAAGGCTGAATATGCCTAAAACTAACTGTCTCAAATAAAGAATATGGATAAACCAAATCTGAACAAGATAATTGATTACTTGCCAATAATTCTGTTACGTATGGACGTAAACATGTCATTTTAATATGCTTGAACTATTACGAGTTTACCTTAGTCGGAAAATGAGAGCGAGGATCCGGCGACACGACATGCTACTCTAATGCGAGTGTCCCAACCCTCATTGAGTGAAAGAAAAAAAGACTTGATATGAAGTAGAACCTGTATTCTATATACAAGCATTCAGAAAGTACGAGGTCCGAGTCCAGAAGAGAATCAGAATCCCGGACTAGGGATTCGGGTCCGGGTTATAAAAGGTTACAGATAATGCGTATTCATACGTATAGGTCGAATAGGAAACAGCACTGAAGTCTGCGACATTGACAGTTAAGACGACCAATAGGAAACTACATTTGAAGTGACACTGATAGTCAGGACGATCAATAAGAAATAACATTGGAGTACGTGACACTGATATCTAGGACGATCATAAAATTGACCAGTAGGAATTAACCAATAGGAATTGACCCATAATTCTCTTAGGATATTGGATGAATATTCTAACAAATACATTGTTGATCCAACAAATAATATGTTATGTGCTAAATAAATACTACTTAAAATCACCAAACACAGAAAAGGAGGAATAAACAACCTAGTAAAATATTTACAGATCAACAAGAGAAACAAATTTTTAATGCACAAATAAAAATGAGGAGTAGAGTTAAGAAAGTAAACTGAAAAAAATTGCATATCATAAATTTTGACTAAAAAAAATTTTTTAAAAATCAATGTCAATCTCTAATTTCAAGGATATGGTCACTTTCAGTCAAGATGTGTGTTTAGAAAGAGTTGAATATTATCATCATAGACACGGTCCTTAGTATGAGCAGATCGATTTATTTTAAGATTGAAAATTATACTATGATAAATGCATTCAATAATTAACTTGAAAATTAAATTTAATATTTTTTCTGTATTTGCCAATATTTCCTGCTTAGGTGGTACAACTCAATGCCAACATGGAACAATGGATATTGGCTCAAGCTAGTGGACGTGAAATTCGTACTGTATTTGTGGAAGAGCATAATTCTAGCACAAAATCACAACGTGATCGACATCGTCGTGAACGTAGAGAACGCGATCGTGAATGGGATTCGTTTGTACGCGAAGCATAAACCTATATACATATATATATATTCATTTATATATATATATATATATATATATATATATATTAGTAATTGTAGGCTTCACAGGCAACTTTATAGGTATATTATACACTGTAGTCTCAATTAATTTTATTGATTTTACTGTTTTAATGTACTATTAATATTAGTTTAAAATTAAAAATGAAAAGACCAACGCCACTTTTTTTTTTTTAAAAAATAAAACAAGACAAAAGTTCAAGTAGACAGACAGTTCAATGGCAAATATATGTATTAACTATTATTATTATTATTACTGTTATTATTATTACTATTATTATTATTACTATTCATTCTCTATCTACTCTTGTTAAATTTACAAATATTTTAAAAAAACAAAACAATATTCATTTGACAATTAGTAAAATTATTCAAGATCAACAAACAATTAAACATTTTCAAAAGAAAAAAAAAGAAAAAAATAAAACAATATGACGACACCTATAAACGAGAAAATAACAAGATGCATTGTAAAATTTCACTCATGTGATCTGTGATCTGCCTTAATCCAAAAAACAAAAAAACCATTGAACCTGTTTAATAATTAAAAATGCAAACTTTTGTTTTACTAATTAATATATGCAAAAATAATCATGTAATGTAATTGTTTTCACTGTTTTTTTTTGAAAAATAAATATTACCGAGTTAAATAAACCAACCAATCTTGTTTTGTCGTTGTCGGTCGATTTGTAAAATATTTATTAAGTTTCTTCGAATGGGTAATAATACTGAAGTCATACACAGGGTACGTACGACCTATGTAACCATAACAAACTAGCTGATAATGTAGTGAGTTTTAATCGATTGAGGTGAATAGTGTTGTAGTGAATGAGAACACAGGTGGGGCAACCGAATTGTATTTAACGAAAATTACAGAGTTACTCAGTATAATCGAAAAACCATATCGTAAATCGTTAATTTGCAAAATATCAGTTCATCATATCGAACTGGACTGTTCCTATTGCAAAACATCAATTCATTGTGACTATTCATGCGTTTCATACAACAAATTCCATTGTGTTCTAACTCTTCCTTTCTTGATCTTCCCCCATCTTATACTGCCAGACATTACGTTGACACTCACGTCATATACTACTTATAAGTAGCTCACACCACAGTGTAATGATTATGTATGTTCAACCAACGCTGACCTTGAAACATGTTTGTTGATGTCGAAAGTTTGGATGAAATTCAAGAGTGCTCAGAATAAGACACAGTATCGATATTCTGGAAATTTCCCTCTCACACTTTATCTATCCGTAATATAATTCCATGACCTTATTTATTAACTTTATCGAAAAATTTCGCAAAACCTCGACACATCTCTCTAATCACCTGCGTATTTATGAATATGTCAATTTTTGAAAATACTATAGTTTGTAAGCAACAGATGAGAACCTAACGAAATAAGATGAATTCGTACTATTCTGTACCAATATTTGTTTTTGCTCTCTTCAAAATAATAAAAGGGAACTATCTGTATGGAAAATATTTTTCAACTCTTGTACTCTATCTAGTTATTGAGTTAGAGATGCATCCCGCACTAGTAAGCGTTAAGGTATGTGTGATCTTTATCTCAAGTTGAGTTATTGGTCAAGAGGTCAACAAATTGTCCGCTAAACACATCATCGATCTTTCAGATATAATGGTCAATTCAGTCAGCAGCGAAATCGATAGGACAATTCTTTCCCTAATTAACGGCCTAGTTCCGTGGGTCCCAAAGTATTAATGAAAACGATTATTTTTGAATTTACACTATAAATTATTAACTATATATGTTACTAAATGTCCATAAAGATTAAGCGTACAAATTTCACATTTATATTTTTACTACATCAGTCAGAATACGCTGATTGATCTTGAGTTACACAACTGGATATAAAACAAATACTAGATTTAAATTTATTTTTCAACACTGAAATAATGAACAGAAGAATGACAAATCGCCGTACACTAGATGTTCTCGATTTCTAAAAAAGTATTATGTAACATTAAACGCTAACCGCCATTTTTATTTTAGCTCAAACAGATGACTCATGGAAGTTATAAATCCTTCTCAACTGTATCTACTTCCTCAGGATATTTGGATGGATGATGGTTACTGAGCTCCTATGACTAAATGGTTAAATATTTCGACCCCCGATTTTCGAAGCACTAGTTCAACACATGTATTATCAACTTTGATTTGAGCAGCCGCATAAAATTACTAGCCCGTAAAAATGCTTAACTTAAATCCAAGTACATATCAAGCTTAAATAATTGATAAATTCCGTTAAAAACCATATTATTAATCAGTTCATCACAAGCAAATGTCACAAGAATGTGACTCAAAATTCTAGCGACAACTATGGCGTTGAAATGTATCAAGAGAGACAGTTCCCGGCCGATAGACATGAACGGTAGTCAAGCTGTATCAAGAACTGACTGATGTTAGAAATACAAACCATTAATTCTTACAACTTGGTTTGATAAAAATATCCTGGTTTGTCGTGATTTCAGTTTTGAATAAGCACTACTGAGTTATAAACAAGAACGAAAACGTTGTCGTCCAGTATCAACCGGTTATCGGTTGGCGCTGAGGAAATTTATTTCTAAAAGCTACATAAGACGAAACCTATGATAGTTCTTTTACAATTCCCGGTGGAATTTTTTTAGGTATACTGGACTGGATGGTTTAATAATAAAGCTTTCGAAATCCTGTTAGACAACATCATCAGTATACACTCGAAGATCTACAATGAAACTACACAATGAAGCTAAAACTGTCAGTTGACCTGTATTTCAGTCAGTTGTTATCCATACACATAATCGGTTCTTTCGATTGCATTCTTAACTAAGTTGGTCTCTCACTTTACAGCATCTCACTTCTTCATAAAAAAAATATGGCACTGATAATGTTGTCTAGAAAGTCAATCAACGCTTCACTACAAAAATCATCCCGTTCAAAGAACACAACACCTCCAAAATACTCATTCACAGTTACGAAAATTCTTTATCAATTCAAAATACATGCAAATAAATTAAACGGGAAACCTCATTCAATACTATGATTACCACCCATTGAAAGCAACTTGAATTCTTTATATTAATCAATTACGATTAAAAATTTCCTACAAACTGGATTGAAACAAAACTGTTAACTGATTTTTTTTTTCAGAAAAAGAAAAGCATCTACAAGTAACTGAATGAAGAAACACTTTTTTTTTTGGTTGACTATAAACACATATAAATATACAAAAAATAGGGGGTGGAGGGAAAAAAACAATAGTATATATATCCTACGATAATTTACTTTTGCTCATCATCAAAACAATAAGTGAAATCTTTACAGAAAAGTATTATTTCATAGGGTAAGTAAGAATTAGAGAATAAAAAATTCAGTTAGTACACTTGATAGTAGCGCATAGTTTCATAATATAGTTGCATAAAAGAAATAATAAAAAGAACATAGGAAATATCGATTTTATCATGCATCTTTCAAACTGATTTTTATACACATATTACAGTAATAAGACAATTATGATAGAATAAGAGAGAATGAATAATACAGTAATTAAAAGGGATCCGTGAAATAAACCATCTCAAACAAAACATGGATCCCGAAAAATAAAACTACTAGGGTCTACATACATAAACAATGCATATATCTCCTACACTATTCACAAATATTTTTAAACAATATACAGATATATATATATATGTTGTGAGAATGAAACAATTGTCATTCCGGGTCGACTATAATACAATCATCATCCGATTGGATTTCAGAGGATGCAATAACGTTCGATCGTTTTGGAGGCGGTATAAGAAATGAATCTAAGGTTACTCTTTTTCGACCTGGAGTTTGTGATGTACCAGAAGTAGGAGTAGTAGTCACCTTAGCAGAAGAACAATCCTCTTGACTTATGTGGGCAGGTGAAGCAGTGTCTTTTTCAGATGCAATAATTCTACTAGTGCTAACTTTGCCTCGATTTGAAGGTTGTGATGAAGCAGTGGTATGAATCACCTTAGGAGAAGAACAGTCTTCTTGAATGTTATTGACAGATGAAGGAGTGTCTTTTTCACATGTGGGAGTTTTACTGGTAACTCCTTTTCGTCGGCTTGGAGTATGAGAAGTAATCACTTTTGGAGAAGAACAATTCTCCTGACTTATACTAATCGATGAATTAATGTCGTTTTCAGATGAGTGAATTTTTTTAGGTTTAACTGGTCGTTCATTCTTCTGAGCTGATGATTCTTTACTTCTTTGTTTACCATATTCTGTAACATTCGAAGATAATGATTGTATGGGTTGCAGTAAAACAACTGGAGAATTATTAGTAGTTACTACGTTTTGCTGTGATTCTTGTAAACGATCTGCAGTTGATGGTAGTTGTGACTGTGGTATTTCTACAGATCGACGACTAGTTGTTGATGAAGCACGATTTACCCGGATACTAGTCACTGCTACATCTGTTAAATATTCCCATGGAGGAAATACAAAACTATTGTTGTTGTTATTATTATTATTATCAACTTTGTCTAGACCACCAACAACTCCATTTAATTCCTGAGTATTGCACAGATTAGAAATACGTGAAGCATATTTCTGAAGTACTTCGGCGTTAACCATCCACCTAAAAACACATAATTATTGGAAACAATAAACAGAACAATACCATATGAACACAAGTGTATGTTTATCAAGATTTAGAATCTAGGAAAAATGAAAAACGTAACGTAGCACCACCTGCTACATGCATAGATCAGTTCAATCCGTCACACCTCATTAGCATAGTAAGAAGAAATTGCCTAAAGTAAATGATTACAGAATAGTAGGTGGGTAGTAAAAGTATTATTAATGATCATAAGAAAGATTAGATAGACAAAATACAATTCAGAAAGAAAATATAAATCAGTGAAACAATCAAATCATAAGGAATTCGGAAACTTAGGATCTAGGGCGAGACAAAGGTTGAATGCATTCAACGTTGATCAAAAATAACAATACATAAATACTGTAGAAAAACACACCATAATAAATAAACTGAAACATGACAAAATGGTAAACATAAAAAGTAAGCTGTCGTAAATAAAACAAACTTGGAACATGGAATAAACATAGATAAAGAACTGATGGTCATTCATTTGACAAGTGAAAAGAAAGTCATGAAATTCAGTTCACTTTATATGGTCTTAATTGTTTGGAAATTTGATTTTCGATAGTATGAATCAAATAATGATGATGTGTAGATTGATGCATGATAAGAAATATATACACATACATTGAGTCACTTATAAAAAAAAACGACGTTTATCATTTGAAAATTAAGCGAAACCAACACAATTTTTAACGCGACATAGGTTGGATTAAAGCACATTCCAAATAGAATTTACTTTGGAGTAAGCTATTTGGCTCACACTTTTAGCTAAACAGCGCAAGTGGATAAATAGAGAATCCTCGAGAACTTGCCTTACTGCAACATCAACTTAGCACATCCTATCCAAACCGTATTCTAATTGGGAGACTAGTCAAGTAAAGTGATTTCCAGAGAATACCAAATAGCAGAAATGAGTCATACAAACAAAACTTAACAAAGATTATTTAATATTTAGTCTTGAGTAAATCTGACGTGGGATTAGAGTTAGCTTATCCGATAAGCAGTAGACGAATGCTAATATTAAACTAAATTCTAGTCCAGATATATCCGATTAGAAATTTTGTAGGAAATCTAAATTATAACGACTGTTCTGTTCTATACCATAGACACTGCAGAAATTTTCAATTTCAAGGTTAATATATATATGTACCATGATTTACAATATCAAGATAAATATTCTTGTCATAGTATTAAAATTGATACCGGATTGAACAGTTTATTTATCATTTGGATAACATACATGACATGTTTTCTGGGTAATAATAATGATAATATTAAACATAATGTAACTCATTTTACCCAGTACAGATCTATGTATTCTGCTTTGAAATACATTTCAGATTGAAGGGACAGAGAGATGCTACAAACTGCCAAAACGAATTGAGGTAGAGCGATGTTCGAGCGAGCAATCTACTGTTTATAAGTTGGTCATTTTAACCACTATGTAATTAATGTACTATTTTTAGAAAATAGCAAGGTTCATGTAGTGAGTTAACTGAACAGAAATAAGCGACAATGTAGAATTACAATGCGGTTTGTGGACATTGTAGAATCACCATAGTTTAAATTGCGAACTGACCTTAGTTAGAACATCACTGAAAGCCCGAGATTTCTGGACAGACGTCTCACTCTTGTATGGGACTCTTCAAAAGTGAGCATCCGCGACCCCGCATCTGGGACCAGTTCGTGATTTAAACAATGAAAACTCCGTAACCTTTTAAAATCCTCCTACAAAAACAATGATCATGTGCTCACAAGTCAGTGGGTCAATGGGTTAAGCAATCCTAAGTGAGACCGAACGTCAATGCTTTGATTCTTTGATGCGGGGTCGTGGATATATCCTGCTAAAGAGGCCATAACTAAGGAGAAACTGCTGTCCAATGATTCCAGGTTTCTAATAGTGGTCTAACTGAGATCAGTTAGTGATTTGAACTATGAAAATGTGATAACTGCGAGAAATAGAACAACTAGGTAAATTACCTTCCTTCAGTGAAAACAGCGATCTCAGCTAATTTGGATAATACAAGTGATTGACTTAACGGTAAACTATCCCAACCTGGACCAGATAATACAGAAGGACTACCACGTGCAGTTGACGATCCCATTGTAGCAGCATTATATTTTTTGTATTCCATATATTGTAAACATTCTGGCAGACTTCCAGTAGTATGACGATGCCAAAATACACGGAATTCAAAAGCTAATTTATGCTTTCCCAAAGGACTTCGATGAACAAGGTGAATAAAATACGCCATCGCTATAAGACCAAAAACGAGAACAAATTATACAGAGAAACTAGAATAATGCTATTGAAATTATTATCAATACTGTTACTATTACTAACACTATTATTCTTAATCTAGTGTTCAAATCAAATTTCATTCAAAATATGGATTTCAATTTCATACAATTTTAATACAATTTCAATATCCAGCATTTCTACAGTTTGCATATATGTTTGATATACTACAACAATATAGATCGATGATAAAAATATAAACGATTGTCAAAAGCAAAACGTCAGTCAGTCAGTTAAAACGTAGAACTTCGTACGTAAGTACATCAGTTCATGTTGCCATAATACATCAGCACAGAGATATAATTGTCAATTCAAATACAATAGTTGTAGGGGTAGTAAAGGTATTAGTAGTCGGAGAGGTTAGGATTAGAATATATTATTCAAGAAGTATGATTCAGTGAGATAAGTATAGAAAGTCAAAACTAGATTAAGATTTGAGGGAACATAAAGAATGAATGCACCTGCGCCATTGCAAACGGTTTTGAGCAATGTCATTCAGGGTCTCTAACCATCTATTATTATCATCTCGTGGACCCAAACCAGGTAGTCGACAACTACCGACATGACTCAGTCCACTTGTCGGTGACTTCATGGATTTCTGCCATGTTCTGGTCTGGCCGCGCCTAGCATTCTTCCAACCTACTCCTACACTACAAAACAAAGCTCGTCGAGGCAGTCGGTGGTGAGGCATACGCAGCACGTTTCCCAACCACCTCAACTGAAGTTTAACAACTTCATCTATTGATCTGCCATTCTTACCTAGAACCCGTTTTCTAATAACAGCGTTGCTCACTCGGGTGTCCCACGATATACGAGCAATGCTTCGAAGACAACTATGATCGAAAACCAATAACCGACGAATATCTTCTACTCTCACTGGCCATGTTTCACAGCCATATAGGAGAACGGAGCGAACTACTGCGCAGTACACTCGTCCTTTAGTCAGCAAACGGATATCGCTCCTGCGCCAAAAGTGACGCAGGTTGGCAAAAGCCAATCGAGCCTTCTGTATCCGAGCTGAGATTTCGTCAGTCACCAGGCCATCGGCACTGATGAGACTCCCCAGATAAGTGAAGTGATCAACACGTTCGACTACTTCACGCCCCCTGGTAGAAGGTCTACTCCTGAAAATTCAGAATGGGGAGAGTGGACATCCCTGACGGACACCACTTGAAGTAAAGAATTCCGTTGACAGTTCGCCATAACCTCTCACTAGACCAGTGGTGTTCGAGTAAAGAGCTTGTATAAGGTTAATGTACTTCTTTGATACACCTTTCAATGACAGGCACTGCCACAGAACCTCAAGACCAACTGAGTCGAATGCCGCTTTTAGGTCCAGGAACACGACTGTTGTCGGACGTCTAAATGTGTGTCTGTGTTCCACGACCTGTCATAGTGTGAAGATGTGGTCTATACAACCACGTCCAGGTCGAAAACCAGCCTGGTTTTCTCGAGTCTACTCTTCACGAGCTTTCGTTAAGCGTCAAAGTATTACTGAGGCCAATATTTTAGATACTATATTAGTTAGACCGATTCCCCTGTGATTGTCACAAGAAGACTTTTGTCCTTTCTTATAGATTGGGACAATCAGTGATTGAGACCAGTCGGATGGGATTACGTCCAGTTCCCAGGTTCTATCTAAGATTTCAGTCAACCTAGCTGCTAAAACTGGACCATCATCCTTAAATATCTCAGGGGTTAGTCTATCAGGACCTGCAGCTCGCCCTCGTTTCAGATTTCCTAACGATTTCTCAACTTCATCAAAACTAGGGGGACTTACACTGATATGCCATTCAGGATGACTGGAAATCGTGGGTAACCGAAGAGTGGCTCGAGACTAGTTGAACTGATCCCTAAAGTGTTCTACCCATCGGTCCAGCCTCCTAGATTGAGAATGGATAATAAGACCATCCTTTTCCGAGATAGTCTCACTCACATTCGGGTTCCGAGTACCAGTTTCCTTGATGAGTCTAAATAATTGCCTACTGATGCCTATCGCTGCTGCCTTTTCCATCTCTCTCGCTTTCTCCACCCACCACTGTTCTCGATCATTGCGTAGGCTTTTTATCAGCCTGTCTAAGCTGACTCCGCTCCCCATCGCACTCAGAGCATGGCGGAATGAGTTTTCGAGCACCCATCAGTTCGGTAGATGCTACGGAGATACACGGCTTCATTCTAGCCTTATGACCAACCTTACTAGCAGAGATCACTGCTATTTCCACAGCCTTTTTGATATCATTCCAACCTGCTTCCAGATGGGAATCACTTACATGGTTACCTAACTCTCTTTCTAGTTGCTCCTGAAATATATTCTTAGCTTTATTATCATTAAGTAAAACACTAAGAGGCTTTCTTACGATGTCTTTCCTACGCCCTGTAAGCCTCAAACAGATACGAGCTCGCACTAGGGCATGATCTGAATCTAAACATGTGCCCCAGAACGAGCGACAGTCCTCTATCGAACCCCTCCATCGGTGGCTGATGGCGATGTGATCTAGTTGAGTCCAATGTTGAGACGACTTTGGAGGTCGCGAGGTCAACAGACGCTTTTCTTTGTGCCTAAAGTTAGTGTTTGCTAAGAATAGGCGGTTATCTGAGCATAGTTGCAACAGACGGTCGCCATTGTCTGTTCTCTAAGCCGCGACACCATAACATCCACCTAGGTGTCTTTCATTTTCACTCAGTCTAACTACTTGAGCATTAAAGTCAACAGCCATTATTACTACATCAGAGCGCCTACTTTTTTGGAGGAGACACGAAAGCCTTCTGTAAAACTCATCTTTAACCTCGTCTGAACTGAGGTCAGTGGGGACGCAGATATGACGAAGAGGCAACTGCGAGAGTCCTTATCCTTCCGAGTCCTTACTGACCCGTATAGTCGGACAGCGCACAAGCGACTATCTACTGGGATCCAGTCTAGGAGAGATCGTTCAGCTCTACAACTCAATGCTATATCTACGCAAGCAAGCCCCCGCGAAGCAGAATCAGGGCTTCCAGATAAACGAAGAGTAAATTGAGTTGGTTCTTTATTTTGACAAGGTGAAATCAGATTTATAATTTTACTAGGATCCTGTATGCGCGTTTCCGAGACGCAGCATACATCGATGGCTTGAGATTCTAAAGTCCTAGCTAAGCAAGCCTGTTGCTCTATTTGACACAATGTCCGTACATTAAATGCTCCAACATGTAGTCTAGAACGGGGTTTCAAGAGACCAGTAATGACGTTTCGTGAACTCGCATCGTTTGCATTAGCGGTGCAGTCAGATAAGGGAATGTGAGTAGAGTTAGTTGTGGAGAGAAGAGAGGTATGTGTGGGTGTACGAAGGATTTGATTTCAACCAATTTGGTCTCCTGTGCTGTTACAGGTATGAGGGAGGTTGTCACTTCCCGGCTGCCCACACCGTAGAAGGTTGTTTCTTGAGGAACCTGAAAAGGAAGATAGATTAGTGTTGGTCTTGGAGACCTGGGAATGTGACCGCAGAGCCCAAGGGACAACTGCTTGAGGCCGGTCACGCACGGCCTTTGGATGAAAGGTTTTTTGAGTATTAGCTCCGCTTTTAAAAGCCTTTAGTGGGTACCCTTACCGCCGGAGGCGGAAATCCGTGAGGTAGGGTGAAGTGTGACATTTTTGGGTCGACCTTTTCTTACCCTTCCTTCCTTGTGAGAAGGCAGCACCCAGTTTTCCCTTCAGGTCTCTATCATAAAAGTATCCTTCCATGGTGTGGGCAACCAAGATGTGACAACCGCCTTCATACCTCTGAGAGCTGACAACGGAATACCGGCCTACAATCGGACAAATGTGTTTAGTGCTCCCTGCCTCTTAAAGCTTTGCGTCCAGCTAATGATAATCTGTTATAAGTAAACATTAAACTGAAATGTCATTATTATGAGAACTGTAAATTAACCTTCTTCTGGGATAGATCTTTTAGGTCTTCTTGAAGGCGTAGTAGTGGTAATAATATCTGGCTCAACAGAAATCGGTAAATTTGTTGTCCATAAATGCACCTAAATTCAAATAAAAAGCATAAATATTAATAGGTTAGTATGATATAAATACACTAAAACTAGAACATTATTCTGGATAAAAAAAAAGCATGTTCATAACACCTAAATAGTGACACTGATGATATTATGCAGAAAAATGATGAAAAACTTAAAATTAAACTAGGTTTGTGTAACTTGACTTTCAGTTAAACACTAAATGTATGAGTTGGTAATATTTTCTGGTTGATAAAAAGTAAGCAGAGCGGAGTTCAAAATATACTGCTTATTGGCAGTGGGTTGAACTCTTTAATCACTTAGCCGCTGCTTCTCCACAGACCTCATAGGAACACAATGATATTAACAACACGAAACCGACGACAGTTGTGGTAGTTATTCAGTATTATTACATGTGAATTAATGAAATTACGAGATCTAAAAATTACAGTAATCAAATGTTTCACAGCGAAAATTGACACTGTTTTACTACTTTCAAATGCACAACCAGATAGATAGTTTAAAAAATCAATAAAACAGTATATTCCATAGCAAAAAAAAATGCTTACACGATATACGCTTAAAACAGATTTCATTAATTGAAATTCTGTCTTTTCATTGGTTTGTTTAGTGAGAATAAATCTTTCTGGTAATTCAATGTTTTCTTTATTCTCTTCAAGATGGTTATTATTATTATTATTTGTTGTTGTATTACTAGTTGGTACACAACATTCTACTGGTTCAGGCAACCATAAAGGTCCTATTAATAATGGCTTTAAACGCTGAAGTCCACGACGATGTGCTGCTTCATATTCTGCAACAGATAATTGTTGACGCAACTGCTTAATTTCATAAGGAATTGGACCTTCACCCTCTTCTGCAGCAACACCTTCATCATCCGATAAATAACCATGTGGAACAAAAAATTGATCATCTTCATCTTCGTCACCTTCTTCTTTCTCTTCTCCTTCTTCTTCTTCGTCTTCGTTCTGGTCAAGAAAATAAATACAATAATATACTATCAAAACAATAATATATTGCACATAACCAATGATGGGGACATATGAATGAAATTATGAATAAAACAAAGTCGGTTAGCCTGTATATAACTAACTGCACACATACTTATTAGTTATGTGTGATTTTCCAAATGCCAATGGGACACTAATAGGATGCTAGAACTTCAATTAACATAACTAGTAGTTAGAGACATTGACTGATATGGTTTGAAATCGGATCCATTCATCCATAAGTTTATTCCTCAAATTTAATCTTTCTAAAATCATAATGCCCAAGTCTGATCTTTTCTACTATCACTGATACTGTTGCTATTTCTATTATTCTAGCATTTATCTTGATAATTTTATCTCACTATAATGTGATGTGACAATCGCGCCCTAACAGCTAAGTGTCGTTGAGTGCTTGGGATCAATGAACAACAGCTATACATGTTGGACAAACTGATATTCTGTTTTACCTACATTGTATTTCCATATTTGCAACATTGAGATGAACAAATACATATGATATTAGTTGGAAAGCTGCTTTTACTACTTACAATAGAAAAAAGAAACGATAACGTACCACTAAGTGTGAATAAGTTATAATCATATTTATTGGCAGCGATTACAAGATTAATGGATATAACTTCATGAATTATTTCCTAACAATCCATAAGTGATTTTGTTTTCATAATATAGATATGGATATGCTTACTCATTTGACAGCTCTATCAGAACAAATGTCAAATACATACTATCGCACATGATGTCTTGTTACTTTACGTTGGGTATTAATTAAACAATCGTTTTAACAAAGCAAAAATTATATGTTTATTACTTCTACTCACATCAGATTGTGTAATACTTTCACCGGGTTCTTCTTCCTCCCATTCGTCGTCTGAATCTACGGAATAATCAAGTTGATAATCATCACGAGCAAATGGTCTACGACCAGTAACAATCCGACTACGCAGTCGCCATGTACCATAATATGCAGGTCGATAATTTTCAACGAATTGAAATAACTTTGCACGCAGCCACACTGTTCCCCCACTACCACGATTACCATGTTCTTTTAAAGCGATAGAGTTTATAGCAGGATAGATACTATCACCAAGATACTGAACTTCAGGAGGTTCACTGGAAATGAAATACGCAATCAAGATACCATCATTCAAATTGTAAAAAGAAAACTAACATATTTTAAAAAAGTAGGTGTGTTTTTCTCTTTGAAATTCACAAGAAACTCTTAGTTCTTGTACAGATATTAATGATTGAGTAGCATAGTGTTTGTCAAGGGGCCTGAAGAGAACACGACACTGAAATAGTTAGTGTAAACTGCTTCACGCCTAGGTAAAAGAGACTTAGTGCTCTATAGTTTTTAATCGTTCCCTAACTCATAGCATTCAATGACGGGAACCGTATTAAGACTAGAAATGCCAAGGGCTATCAAACTGAGACGCAAATTGATTGACAATCTTATTGATGACCGACAAGAATGAAGGGAACAAAGAATATTAAGGCACTTTCAAAATTTACGAAAAACTAGATGTTTAGGCTTATATATAAGCTATGGATAGCGAGAAAAATGAATCGATGATAAACTAGAAAAACAAGCCACGTCAATAAAGGATTAAACACTGAGAAGTAATCTAGCATTCTTAAATCATCACTAACTGATATCCAGCATGACAGTTCTGAACTATTATATATACAAAACTATACTCCAATCCCTATCACCACGTCAAGGTAGTAGCTACGGTCGGGAGGCGAACTCAACATAAACAGATGGATTTTATCAGTCTCTACTACCCAAAGAGTTAAACATAAAAAATATATATTAAATGCTGCTTAACTGAGCTGTCATTTGAAACGATGATGACTGGCAGTGATTGATATGAATTTTTGCTTTTGCCATAATCATAAATCTAACTTAAGATCCTTTAAAGAATCCAAACAACATAACTGTGATATTTAAAAATTAGTTTTTGGAACACATTGTCCTTCATGGGTTAAATGCCCATAAAATATTCTAACTCTAGAGGTATTTACAGAAATACATATACATACAAGAGTAACATACATTGGCCAGGTATTTGGATAAGATAATGGTAATATCTGTCCTGTTCGCAGTTCATGAAGATAATTGGCACGTCCGAATTTAAGTAACCCAAGTGAAGATGCTGCATCGTTATCAACCCCATTTATCCACGTATGTCTTAAGTTGTCGATATTGCTTTGTTTTGAAGAAAGTAAAGCCGGTGACATTCTGTGCAAAGGAGCCATTCTCATATCTTTTCTGACTTCAAATTGTATAAACGGTCCACAGTCTGTGCCAGAGATGGTATTAGTCTCCTAAAACACAAATGAAACAATAAAAGAAGATTAACAAACCTTTCTGTTTTCTGATTTCACAAGAAATCCTAACAAAACGGCCCGTTGCTTTTCTTCCCTTTGGGTTTTCAACTCTTCTTCTCTCTTCTTTTCTTGTTCCTTGAGTAATTTCTCTTCCTCTTTCTTGCGCTTTTCCTCTCTAAAAAAAGAAATAAAATTAAAAAGTTTGGGTGGCACAATACATACTCTTTCTTTTTACGCTCATTTTCTTTTTCCTCTTCTTTTTTGCGCTGCTCTTCTTTACGTTTCAGACGCTTCTCTTCTTTTTCACGTTCTTCAGCATCTTTCTTCTCCTGTCTTTCTCGTTGTTGCCTTTCCTATTCAAAAAAGCGTTTAGATAATCGAAAAGACAAACCTTCTCCAATTGTTTTTGTTTTCTTTCCAGCTCCTTTTGATGCTCTTTAGCTATACGTAAACGTTCAAGTTCAGCACGTTTATGTGCCTTTTGATAGTCTGTGACTAACTTTTTTGTGGTTGATTTCTATGTAAGAGAATATTCGAGAAAGCGATACGTTTATATGAAGTATTCAAATGTAAAATCAGGTAATTTATGTTCACTATATCCAGTTATATGATACTCGACAAGAACAATTGATTTCGTAACCACATACTTTTGCATTTTCTTCCAAGTAGAACTACCTTTCAGGAATAACTTTGCTACACTTGCCAAAATTTAAAAATGCCATAAAGTTCTAGCACAAACTTACGTAAGTATGCATGGAACACTCAAATGAAAACGTGTTACGTAGCTGCTCAGTTATTTATTTTCTTTGAAAATAAAGATTTCCGACAGTTTGAAAACTATAGTTTAATGTTCTGTCTGTTATCGTTGGTAGCTACTTTCTCAAAAACTGGTCATAAAGCTTTATTCATATTTTAACAAAGGTGGACAAGTGCAATCTAGTAAGTTTTAAACGCTAGTCGGTAGAGAAAGCTGAACACCAGGTTATTAGGTGTTCTCAAATGGGATTTTGTTGTCTTTGAATTCTACTAATGTAAAAGTTTGGCACTCAGAAAAATTAAAAGGACAAATTTCGGCATAAGTAAATCATTTTTCCAAGTTTCTTTCTTAACATTACGTCAGAAATCCACAAAGGAATTTTCCTGACTAAATAAGCTGTCCCAGCTGATTAATACATGTTTTCTTATTTTTGGGTACTATCAGAGATGACACATCTCTAAAGTGACCCAAAGACTACTCTGAAGTCAAAGTGATTAGATTGTTAATAGGTTATATACAGCATTCACTTCGCTTGGTGGGGTACTCAAGTGGTTTAATGTTAGTAAATTTCACAAAAGATTGACTACTTTGAACTGTCATTGTATCCTTTCTAGGTCTTGCTCTAACGTCACATGGCTGCCCGGTATTCACATCAATTAGAAGCTTGTAAAGCAGATAACTATGATCTTTTATAACCGAATGAGTAAACAAGTGCTTCATTATTAAGTAACTGTATAAACTTAAACCAAACGTATACCATCAGTCAGTTAGTCAGCTACAACGCAGAACGTACGTGTCACACCACATTAGCACAGAGAGAAGTATCAACAGTCGTTGGAAAGATTAAAGTCCAAAGATAGTATTCCAGGAGCATATATCAGGGAAATCAATTTGAGAACGATGAAAGTCACGAGGAATTCAGATTACAATTTGGGAGAACACTAAGAGTGGATGCACCTGCGCCATTGTAAATGGTTTTGAACGATATCATTCAAAGTCTCTAACCATCGGTTACTATTGTCCCATAAACCACAACCAGGTAGTATATACCTACCAACATGACTTAGTCCAGTCATCAGTGACTTTATGGGTGTGCCATGTTTTGGTCCGGGCGCCCTTTTCCAGCTAGGAAACTAGCCTAATTTCTAATACCAGCACTGCTTACTCGGAGGTCCCAGGAAATACGAACAATGCTTCGAAGACACCTATAATCGAATACTTGTAACCTATGAATATTCTCTACACCTACTGGCCATGGTTGAAGAGCGAAGCTAACACTAAAAACTTCTTATAAAAAGGCCATGCGCGACCTGTCTTAAGCAGTTTTCCCTTGGGCTCTGCGGTCATGCACCAGGTCTTTAAGACCAACAATAATCCAAGTTCTTTTAGGCTCCTCAAGAAGCACCTTTCCATGGTGTGGGCAGCCGAGAAGTAACATCTACCCACAGCACATGAGACCAAATTAGTCACAATCAAAGCCTTCCTTTAAACGTATACCATGGTTTACTTTCAATTTTATAATAAGAACATGGGCAGTTGAGCAGTGACCTAAAACGCTTGGCAAACGACTGGGACTTTCTGAAAAATGTATTTCAAAAATCTGTGATTTCAACCTTCACGTCTAAAGCGAAAACAGAGTGTGCAATTTAGTGCACAAGAATTTGAGTTTAATTGAGTTCACTAGGAAGATTACTGTTATTGATCATATATGAATTAACGTTACTACTTTTGATGATTAGTTACAACATCTAGTTCCTCCAAAAGCATTACATAGGATAGGGTTCACAAGCTGGTCACAGTGAGGAAGATAAATTTACTCGATATTCATAAGATCTTTATCTTCATTATTACTCTATACTTTTAATCCGCAAAAGCATTTCCCAATTTCGAATAATGTTCTCGACATATATTTTCCCTTGATTTCATAGCCCTAATTGTAATGGTCCTTAAGCTACCCATTCTGTTAACTTTGTCACGTTGTGCTAACAGTGGTAACTTGCCCTGATGCCCGACACGCATTGAGGATTGAAAATTAACTCCATATGGAGTTAGTTTGTGGATAATATGTTAGTTTTATGTAGGGGAATTTCAGCTGGCGGCATACTGTAATGGCAATCGGTGAAGTTCTGAGTCAAACTAGATTCGACTTAATTCACTTTCCTAAGTAGCAGAACCAAGAATTATAATTATTGCGGTCTGCAAAGGCTGACTGAACTGTAGCATCTCACCACTCATTCACTGTACTTCAATGACTAGTCGTTTAACTTATTCGATAGTTGTATCGACCATTTTTTGTATTTGTAAAAACTCGGTAACAGTATCGATTATTGTACGTTTGATTGTGTGTGCATGCTTAATCGTTTATTACATGTATAGCCTATTAATGTCTGACTATATATACTTAGTCATTCTTCAGTACACGGAACTAGCTGACTCGCCTTCGCCAACCCGCTTCGTTTATTTGGTGCGCTTTCCATTCTCACGTCTGCATAGATGAATGCATAAAATAAATTGATCATCAACACTGTATTTGGCTTCTTACTACCGCCGTCGTACGAATAGGATTAGTCTAAGTATAACATACGGAAGCGGAAAGGAAGATTTATTTGATCACATACTCGACCATTCGCCGTGAGCCGCTAAGGAATCATAATCAAGCTCATGGGGATATTGAGCCAATTGTTGACTAGTGGATATGATTTTACGAAATTGACCTACAACAAAACTCAATAAATAAACCTCAAAAAATACGCATCGATAGGGATTTGGGCAAATCCTTGTTTTTTGCCTAAATGTTGCCGCCGTAGTCATATTATCTAAAAACTTACACGCATGAGGAGAATACGGAACAGATTTATGAAAGTGTTATAACTTTTACAAGACGAATAATAAAAATAAATCTACAACCCATTCTGTAGTGTTAGGACTTAAGCTTAAGTAACATTAAAGAACATCTTAACTTCAAGCGTTGAAAAACAATCTATAACAAATTGAGCTAATTACGATATGGATAAGATACACGACTGTCCTGTATCCAATATCCAATATCTTTTTCACGAGCTAGTATAAACCAATTGATTTCTTTGCGCTCGATTTTTTAATTTGAATAAGCACCATGCAGAGATAGGCAGTACTTACATGTATATAAGCAGAGCCATATAAAAAAGTGCCATTTAGTGAAAAATTCGACGAAGTTAAAAGCCCCTAAGAACTTACAGGCTTAGCTTTTTCCATAACCAAAGAAATCAAACTTCCCGCAAACAACGAAGTTGTACACCGCCACAGTATGCAAACAAACACAACTTGAAATCGTTAGATAATGGAAAAAAATAACATCATTCATCTGAAATAACTAGTAAATATCATGAACCTGTAGTAAAAAACACTTCGAAAATGACTTATTCCAACTCACGACAACAAAGTAAGAATTAATGAAAACAGAAAAAAATAGCTGATATATAAGGCAACTTGGATGAAAAACTAGAAGCAGTGAAATAGGCTAATGTGACAGAGAAATACCTCAACCCGTTTTATTTCAATTAAATATATATAGGCATATAAAAAAACTTTTCGGCTTCTGACAACAAAAACTTAAATTGTAGATGAAGCACTGCAGAACACAAGAAAGGAAACAAAGTAGAGAAAAGATCTTAAAGTTTCCTATACTCAGAAGCCTTCGAGATACATTCAGATTCCCATTAATCTTCCAGAGCGCGTCGTTTTAGGTTGCTTTTCGGAAACCAAAGTACATTTGTTATGGTCGTTACTGATCATAGATGGCATCGTGATCATGAAGGTCAAGTCATTTGTATGTTAAGAAAGTTAACAAAAGAGGGGTTTCCTTCTAAGTGAGCTGCTGTCAACCAGATGATGCTGGTGTTGGCTCTACTAACGTTCCCATCAACTGTATAGCTCTGAGGCTCTTGATGGAAAACTGTTTAGAGTCCTTTGTACGCAGCATCGAGGGATTGATGTAATGAGTCGCGACGTAAGAAAACTTCAAACTAAATTGCAAGGTGGATTTGATGAATATATCAGTTGCTTAAGGTTGAGTAGAAACGGGTTTAACTGAGTTCGTTGTGTTTGTCAGCTTGTACGTGTATGGGCTTCGATCCACATATACTAAAATAGATAAAGGATCTACTAATTGTTCCAGAATTTTAAGTGTCAATCGGAACCGGGTTCGGCAAATTACGAGAAACATGAATAGAAGAGCTTCGGTCCACTGTGATAAATTCTCAGCTGAAAGTGCGGCTTCCAAATTTTGGTGGAGTCGGCTTAACAGATCGTTAGCTTGAAGATGATAGGCTTTCGTTTCGAATCATGTGATTGACAAATGTGTAGTCAGACAAAGTCCATAATCGAACTGGCTTTCAAGGTCTATAGTAATAGTTGAACAACAACCGAAGTTTGTCGTTCGACAAAGGCGCGGGCCACTGTTTTAGCTATTGTATCCTTGAAAGATAATGCTGTTGACCATCGTTTTGAACGAAAAGCATGAGAGAAAATTTTTAGAGTGACGACAGCTATTTTGGTAATGTCTTCCATAGCCATAAGGATTTGTTTATGCGCTAAAACCAAGTAGACTTTTGGAAAGGCAGTTCCACCCTTCAAGTCGTGTGTGTGAGGCGAAGGGTAACAATTCGATGAGCTCTTCCCATTCAGTCACCCATAATCACCGATAGGGCAGTTAAGCGTCGAATAATCCCAAAATCCATATTGTGATAGAATTCTTTTTCCATGATCCTGGTCTTTGAACAGCTAGTTACTAGGCTTCTGCGAAAACAGGTGGTCTTGCAGTCATCATGTGATGTGCACCATTGCCAAATACACACGGTAACTGAGGTCAAGTTTAATACAGCTTCGGGTACCTGTCGTGTATTGGTTGAAAGGATGAGTCGATTATGTTCAACTGTGACTAGGCTTAACCTAAAACCAGAGAATGAAACTCCACACAGATAATCTGGTATTACCATCTGCTAACCTACCTCTGATTGATGAGTAAGTGATGGTGTTATAGTAAAGTGTATAGGATACAGATGAACTTCTGGAACAATATTGGCGAGCACAGAGTCTATGGGAAAGTTATGGTCAGAACAGGACCAATTTCTCTTTAAACTTTGTCTGCTTGTATTAGATTAGTACAATAAATAAGGAAATTACAGTTATCAAGTGAAACGAGTAAACATACCGACCAATATGGCGTGTCTTTGGAAATGAATAAAACTATGAGTCACATCAATATAATAAGACAACAATGTCAACCAATTATTAGGTCATTTAAAACAACGAAGGTTTACAGACACGTCAGATCAGATCACGTGGTTGGCGCTTAAACAGAAATCTGATTGGTTAGTTATGGCATAACTACAATTAGTCATGAAAATAACTAACACGTTTTATCCGGAAAAGTCTTCGTCGAAAGTTCTTTAGTCAGCGAACGCTCTCACAGATACCAGGATATGTTGTGGAAAAATTGATCTAACCGTTGTCAATTGGTTAGGTCTTGACGTTTAAGAGTCGCCATTTTTATGGCATCTTAGTGATCAGAAACATAACATACTGGGTGTGACAACTGTTCAACTCTCATGATAGTGCTTCCACCATAACGAAGAATCATGCACGTGCGTCTGTCATTCCGTGCTTGTGAAAGTCAGCCTCTTGACAGCAGGACTAGGCTTCGATTTCCTCAGGTCAGAATAGCATGAGTTGAAAATTTGGAAGTGCAAGATCCCTAGTCTCAGGAAGCTTATGTGTGTATTTCAATATAATAAGAATAGAATACTTATAAATTTGTGAGAAAAAATTGTAAGCAATCATATCACCGTGTCTTAAAATGCATATATATATATATATATATATATATATATACAGTTTGCTGTGTGTACCAGGTCGCGTCGTTCTCACCAGCTAGGATGTCACGGATATTTAGAGTTAGACAACGCTTATCCCCGCAACACCTTTCTGATCGAGGATACTGTTAGGGGGACATAGAGGGAATTAAAGCATGACTAAGCTGCTGCGCACTGATTGGCTAACTCCCTATCCAATCAGCGCCTGATCGAATCTTGGAGAACAGGGTAGAAGATTCTCGTGTTGTTAGCTGCGTGCTGATTGGTTAAATCTAATCCATTTGATCCCGTGAATTTCTATCCAGAAGCTTTCACATGCAAATGCTATAAGTAGACTAACGTTATATATATATTTGCCTTCTTCGCCTTCTTGCCTTCGCCATCACCTTTGGCTTCTTATTTCCATTTAACCTTGCTATTTGGAATATAATCTTTTCCTGTTCAACCGTGTTTTTGATTCTTGGGAACTTGTCCAGTGTATTGTGGTCAGAGAATACTAAGCAGTAGAAATTATATATGCAAGCATTACAACAGTAGCGTTACAACAGATACAAAAAGCCAAATCGAACCAGAAGTCAGGAATTCAGGGGACCGAAGTTAGATTTGGATTTTGGTTGAGATGTTCTGAAGTCATTGGACAAAGCTTGTTAGTTGGAAAGAGGGATGAGTTACACGGAATCCCCCTAAACGATCTGGTGCTGATGCCTCACCCAGCGCATTCAGCCAAGATGTGTACATTAAGACTAATGGGGACAGAACCAATGTCGAAGACTGACAGAATTATTTATTTTGAGGGTTTGTTTACCGCTGTAGGTACATTATATCAAGGGAGTTAATGTTTCTAGACGGCTGAAAATATTCTCCTGACAGTCGAACATGAATCTTGGTTATATTGTTTAATGTCAAGATCACGTCAACTAATAATTATACATTTGAATAGGGAAATTCCGAGATCATGTGAATCAGGACCAACAAATTTTTTCATCATTGTTATAGATGTACAGACTTTTCAAAAGCTCGAAATCTAAAGACAATTTTTATCTTGCTCACAGTGTTGTGACTGGTGAATGCTGGTAACAACAGTGATTCCTGTTCAACAATACGTTTGGTTAGGTCACAACAATCGGAATATAAGTATACAGACAGTATCCTAAAACTAAGCGTTGACCAAAAATTAACTGCGAAGTCTTATTTATCTCCACAGTTTTACAATTTTTAGGCATATTGTATACTGAAAGAGCACAGTGGAGTTCCTTATACCCTACTGTCAATATGACTGAACTCACATGCACTCTTTTTACTTTCCGCTTACTTCGTTAAACATCTTTCCGCCTCTACATCCCAAGTGCTTATAATTTGTTTTAAAAACCAGCACTTTCTTCAGAACAGTCTACTCAATTGCACTGATGCCTAATCCATAGCGCATAAACTGTAACAGCCTGACAAGCTTTTAAAATAAAGCTTTCAGAAATAGAGTTTTTCAAAAGGATGTGAAATACAGAACCTCGAGTACAACATAAAATATTATCCTTGATCAAATGAGCTCAACAACAAAAAAGTAGGAATAGTAGAGTTACTGGTAGCAAACATTATATGAGTACGATGACTTCGATCCACTCATGTTTATGGGGCAGAATATTTGTTTGATTCCGGCCGTTTCATCGATGAGGCGACTAACCAGTGAAACTGAGGTCGTTCTTATATGCTTGCTACTTCTGCAAACAGAACCTGCTACATGCCTCCTTAAGCACTTACAGTATGACTTCGAGTTTGATATTTGATGGAAACAGTGAGCAATATTATTATCAATGTTCTTCACAAACTTTACTCTTCTACCTGATTTTTCGGCTTCACTGTGCAGTTTCCAGCTTCTAACTTCAAATTCTATTCTTTTTTATGTCCTCCTGGACGCTCTGTATTTCACATCCTTTCTAGAAACACCATTTCCGGAAGTTTCATTTTAAAAGCTTTTTAGGTTGCTACAACTTGTGCGCATCAGTAATGATAGTAATCTTTTATCCGTCAGCTATACTGTTAATGGCTGATTTACTAAGTCACACGAACATTGAATTAAGAACTTGTCTATCACAGATGTAGTGAAGTTGTAAGTTATCACGTCATTTGCTGAGATTGGTTTATTATTGTTGTCGCTGTTACCAATCTTGAATTCATATTAATATTTATAATTATTTTACCATCAATACGCACCCCTAGCTGTGAGTCTTTGGTTTTCAATATGTTGTCGTGAGGCGAGTCGCGAGTGACTTAGATCTCCACGACAGACTAATTACATTCCCGTCACTAAATGTAGCATCGCCTTGAACCGAGGACAGAGGAGAAAAGTTAATCCATACAAGGAAATATATTTGCTGGCGATTTCGGGGTATCGAAGGGATACCGAAATCGTGCCAGACAAAAGGGGCGAAAGTATACCTAAAAATGGCAGCAACACAAAAGGAAAGTTTTCGCGTACAAAGTAATCACAAACAAAGAGATTCATTAAAACAATCGCTGGTTCATTCGGTTATAATAATGAGTGTTTCTACCAAACCAATCTCGTTCTCTTTATTAAAGTGAAGTAACCAAAATGCTGAGGTCTATATTCAGTGAAGAGCAAGAATTTTCAATGGCGTTTACAAACCACAGAAGCATCACCAATTACCTATTCATACTAGGTCTTCTTATATATATTCCTTGTGTCCTAATAATTTGGAATCAGAGGACATTGTGAGTTTCGTGAATAAAAGTACTGCATCCGCGAGCATTCGAACCACCGTCATTTTAATTGCTTGGTCACCTACTTATTTATTAGTTCATTTCTACTAACGTTCGCTAAGGCCATATGTTTACTAACTGTAACTGATAGCTAAAACTAATATTCTAACTAGCCTGAGATGAGCACTTGTAACGAGGACAACAACCCGCTTAATGATGAACTTTAGATTTCATACTGTGAATTGCATGTTAACAACAAGCTAATCAGTCTTTAAAAGTTTTTAATTTCACTGAACATAAGCAACCTGATCAAGTTGTTGACATAGATTTTATTATTTTTATCTTATTTTATGCTTCTGATCAACATATCTAACTAGATGACACATTTTTTGCCGTAGTTTACAAACCAAGTTTTGAAAATCTGTCTTCTTCCTCAATTTTTACCCAAGGATGGCCCACCAGGTAGGTCAGTAAAGACCTGTGAGCCGGACAGAGAGTAGAAAGATTGTTCCTTACCAACGGAGTGTTGGGTAACCTGCTGGCAGCATTCCTGCAGACATTCTCGTATCATTTTCTCGCCTTCATTTCTTTTAGTTTCTCTCATTTATATGTAGAGGACAAGTACGAAAATTCAGTTACTATAATTTATGCTAAGAATGTATATGCTACAGTGATAATATGGAAAGCTAATGAAAAAATGGTAAGGCAACTGTTAAAGCAACATCGAATCGATACAGTTTTGTTCTTTATGTGAATGGAATGGACATTTCAACAGACGATTTTAAGAAATGACGGTACAACCTAGGTAAAGTAATCGCGATTCAGTGAAAAACACCAGTCCGTAGTAAAACATTATATCCAAAGCGAACATTTACTTTCTTAATGTTTGTATTATATTTTATATCACCGCATTTTGAACGCTGAGAAATTCTTTTGTTTTAATGGTAACCTCCCCGTATCACTGTGCTGCTGAATGAAGATCTCGATGAAGACCTACTCCGACAAAGTTGCTAGCTTACGATATAGGGCATAAATAAAGTTCCTACAACATCACATGCTCGGCTGAACTGAATCAAATTTTTGTATCTGTTCTTTGCTCTTGGACTGATCTGTGGTAGACTCTAAAGCTTCTCCGAAGAGGTATGTAGTTAAGATTCGAGTTTGAAAGATTGTGAAGAAACAGATTGTCTGATTAGTTTCTAAATGAATGCGCCTTATTCCAACCAGTGACCAAGCATGCTTGGATTGATAAATGATAGGACTAGACACTCAAAATCAATAATTTCACTCTTTTTTTGGGTTACCAACACGCTTGTGACCCAAGTGAATTGTTCTGATACTAAATATGACTATCAAAATATGTGGAACTTTGGAGATGGATTGTCGAATAAAAACCTTATTGAGCGATTGACAAAATTTTTATAAACTCTGGCCTTTCATCTGGTCGTTTCAGAAGTCCTGTTTATGCGCCACCCTAATAGAAATATGTTGCCAATATTAACATCTTGATCTTGCCCGTAAATTGGCATGCCTATTTTAACATGTTTGTTATTTGAGAATAAATTATTATTATTATTAAAACAGCTAGTGCGGTTGAAATGATTAGCATTAAACAAAATAATTGGAAGCTGCCAATTCGATTCACTGGGAAATACATTTACAATCACAAAGAATTGAGCTTTCGAGTATGTAAGGCAATCCGTCCCAGAATGGCTAAAGAATGTGATGAAGTGCTAGATACGACACAATCTCAGTGTCCATAAAAAATGACTAGGCGAGGTCCGATATCTAATACCTATCAAATGCTAAAGTCTTTCAAACCCTTAAAATTAATCCGTCGTTATTGAGGTACACTAAACACAGCTGCAGTTCAATGTAGCTGCAAAACTTTAGGTCATGTAATCTCAGACTTAACGGTCGGCATTCGATGACCACAGTCGACTTTAGGGATTTCACGCTGGGAATCTGAAGGTTGAACCTCTGTTATGAATTTTGTTACAATAATAATTAAAGCGACATATCTGATCTGATGACTCATGACTTATGATGAAACTTAGTTTCCTGAAGCGGATGTTTAGCTTCTGGCAACTGAGGTTTGTACTGTAGTGGTTGTCCGTACTTCAGTATCAGACCAGAGTAGAGTTGAAACTTAACTATTATCTCTCACGTATTCAAGGGAAGATAGATTCAACCTGATAAAGACCAACTCAATTACTACTAAGACTGCAGAGGTGATGGGAGAATGGTTTCGCAAGTAAATAAGAGGAATGTATGAATAAAAACAACTTCCTAATGAAGCGCAGTTTGACGATAGAAAATGCCAGCCCTACGCATCCAATTCACTCAGTATGGAACAGTTGGATAACCTGTTACAAACAAAAAATACCGTTCATGTAGTAATCCTCGATTTCTCAAAATCTGTTAATACAGTGTTGAGCGTGCCCCTAATTGCAGAGGTTGTAAAGATGACTTCCATGATTCACTTCTGTCTTGTTAATTAAACTAATCAGAGTAAAGGATACTTTGTACCGACATCAACAGTCTTCACGTGAGCAGATGAGCCTCAGTGTCATTGGTTGCCTGTTAGATAAAGTTAGCGTAGCGGCACCAATTCATTGATAACACTCAAAAATCTGGAGGTCCATGAGCACCAAGATTATTAATTGGAACTTGAAAAAGACTTTACTAGGGGGATGTTTAGGAGATATTTAATCCAAATTCCTCCATTTTTAATCATTTTGAAAAAAACGATTACGACGTCATGGCCTTGAACTTAATATACGAAAACGGGCAGAAGCATCCCACCAGTAACAGGCTCTGAGATTTCGGAAGGTTGGTTGTACGAACTTTAAAGCAAAATATGCAGGAAGTTTAACTTAAGTATCATCAATCAAAGTTCCGGTAATTGACTTTTGAGTCCTTCCTGCTACTGCACATTTATTTTAAAAGTATGCAAATTTCGGCACAAGTGAACACCAACAGAAATTCACTACAAACAGAGATAACATTGGAAGGATAGGGAGGAGAGTGCAATCCAGAAAATACGTGAACGAAAAGAGCACATACAAGGATGTATGGCTTATGTGAAAATAACAACCAAAAACTTCTTCATCCAGTGTTACTTACTTAAGTCTGTCACCTCGAATGGAGTATAGGCAACCGACCAGAATTCTCCGGCCTACTTTGTCCTGGGCCTCTTTCCAGTCTTCTTCATTCTTCTCATGTCTATCTCCTTTACTCGGAGTAATGTATTCTATGGCCTTCCTCTTTTCTTTTGTCCCTAGGGATTGGAATTGAAGGCTTATCTTGGGACGCATTTGGGTGCTTTCATCAATGCCTGTCCTATCCACTTTCAGCACCTCTTCCAGATCGTATACCGTGCTCCCTTCTTGATGTTGACGTCTTCATACTACAGTCAGTCAACGAAGTCATTTCTTTCCCTTACCAACTACATGTCAGTATTGGAAACCAACCTTTCAAATTGGACCACTCGAGCACAGGAATATAGAGTTTTCAGTTAAGGCGCGCACCGCAATCATCTAGAATATGCAGTCTAGTGTTTCCGTGGAAGATGAGTTTTACTCTTTTTGGAAGTCTCTTGGACCCGTAAGACTAACATTTAAAACATCTACTTTCAATTTAGAAACCTCCTACAACTCTTCGATGCTTCGAAAGAGGGGTAAGCTATGTTAATGTGAGTCATTTCTTTCCAGGAAATAATGACTCTTCATGATTCGGATGCTATTCTTGTGGCTACGGATTACTACAAAAACCCATCTCTTATAAAGCGATTTTCCAAGGGGAAGTCATGCTTGTCATACGTCACTGTCAAAAAACAAAACACTGACTTTTTGCGACATTTCCTCCTAAAGCGACAATATCGCATTGAAATTTATTGTTCCACTACCAAATATGGGCGAGACAATGAATGGAGCCTTAAGTTAAAGGTTTGTGGAGCTAGTTGATAACTTATTTTAAGGCCTCTCCGGGGAATTTAAGTGCAGTCGAAGATCTTCTTACGACAACATCAGATTCAGTTGAAGCTTGTGGACTGAGTGCAGTAAATATAAAGCAGCTAAATGAACAAGTAGTAAGTTTTTTGCAACGTTTGAAGCCGTATCTTATACTCCTGATCTCCGCTTACCATCTCGATAACTAACAAACAAGTCATACGTGGACGTGTTTAGTACCTAACTCAGGTTAACTACGCAGGGCATAGAGTATTAGGTAGCACTATGAATGATATTTATAGCCTCAAAATACTGCGAACAGTGGCTATAAGTTTATGATCCGTTAAATTCGAACCATAAGTCTCAAATTAGGTGACTCAATTCAGTGGCTTGAAGCGTTATCAGTCTTGGCACAGTGTATTAGTTAATGGCGAAAAATGTGAGAGACTTCGTTAAATGAGGAGGACCTTTCTGTTGTTATTTTCACATAAGCCATACATCCTTGTATGTGCTCTTTTCGTTCACGTATTTTCTGGATTGCACTCTCCTCCCTATCCTTCCAATGTTATCTCTGTTTGTAGTGAATTTCTGTTGGTGTTCTCTTGTGCCGAAATTTGCATACTTTTAAAATAAATGTGCAGTAGCAGGAAGGACTCAAAAGTCAATTACCGGAACTTTGATTAATGATATTTTGTTGCCATATAACCAAACTATAAGTGTATGTTATGATATTTAAGTATTTGTAATCATAGTAGCCGCCTAAATATTGGGGCGTATCACTATGAGATGAACTTCTATGTTAGTCTATTACTGGTTAACGTTAAATTTGATACTATAATTGAGTGTCAAAACTTGATAAAACAGTGTAGGAAAAGTACAGCTTTTTGTTAGACGGTCAAAATATCCATTGTTCATAATGACAGTTGTGAAAAAAGTCAATGCATTAAACTTACAAGTAAATCTTCACCTACATAAGATGTTTATGAACATTCGGTGAAACCTGTTTGTAGTCCATTGATGTCTTTCCATGTGCTAAGGTAATAATATTTTTGATTTTCATCATTGGAGTTAGTTATTCAGTCAAACAAGATTGGCTCTATTTTGTAGCATGTGAGCCTGGCTTTTTGTGACACCGAAAGTGGGAAGTTTCTTGTTGGTGAATTTGTTGACTCGGTGCATTTAGCGAACTTGGAAACTGCTCTTGTTCAATTAAAAACAAGGGAATGTATTGTTCCTGCTGGACTGGTTTCACATACAGATAATTCGCGATCTAACGTCACGCCTTTGGACAATGCTATTTCGGAGAACGTCAGTCTTATTTTCGAAAGAACTGCAATTTTGCCTACGGAGCTAAAAAAGTGTAAGTCTTGTGTTTCAGTAATCAATGGACCCTTCTAATCAGTGTTTGAAGTCATAAATTTCTTATGTCATGATGATGATGACATGATAGCTAAACTCATTTATGTATTAAATGTCATCGAAGCTTTAACTCTTTGTAATTATAAGTAGTTTCTTAGCAGTGTGTTATGGTAGCTTACCGATTTTTACTTAATTCTATTTTATCATATAATCACAACTTACTATTCTAAGACTTTTGTTCCTTTGTGGGATCTTCCCTGTGAAATCTGTCACTGGTCTAGGAACATATTACTTTAAAGTCTCAAATAATTGAGACGAACCAACTCATGGAGTTGCAAATTTAAATTAGTCAAACGTGCACTATACTTACCAACGTATATGGAGTAGAACAAAAACCGAAAATGCCATTTTTATTATCAAACAGATCCATATCACTGACCACTACATTTGTTAGTAAATACGAATTATCCAATAGTTTCGGTTGTAATCTACCACTAATTTAAGTTTAAACCATTGAATTGGGTCCTTTAATTTAAAAATGTAAAGTTTTTTAAATAAAGTTGACCAATTATCAAGGAGTGTGAGTAGACGGTAACTATGATCTTGATTACGTTCCTTCCTTAGAAAGTGTATCTGAACAGAGGAAAAGTTAGATTGAAATTTTACTCTTGATTTTAGTCAACATTTACGTAAATGTGGTTTGGTTTCAGTTTAACTTCCATAGAGCTCTCTTTTTGTTCATTTAAGCTGAATTCTCGCACATTACCAAACCACAAGACTTGAGCTATTTCCTGCGGTCTGAAAAAGAAAACGCAAACGGCTCCTTGCTTTACGAGAAAGGTAAGCTCTTTTTAAGTGCTATTTAGTCAGATACTTCTATTCTATCAGAAAGCAAGGGTAATGACTTCCAAAGTATAAAAATTATTGTGGTTTTAACCATAGCTTGTCGTTTGTTTTACTTGTGCGATTGATTGTAGAAACTTTTAATGCACAGTCAATTCAATTTCACACTTTATGCTATCATATTGATATAATAGTTGAGCTATAAATTTTTCTGTCTGTCTATTGTCTACCTAGTCTTTTACATAATTATTAATAATTTCGTTACTAATATGCAATTTATTTTGGTTATTTCATCTGGCTATATGGCGATAGTGTCGAGATATAAACCGATTCACAGGTTTAGTAGATCCTGCGTTGCGTATTACTAACCAATCGAATTATCGTTTCCCGTATTTCGATTTTGTTACAATGACTCGCAAGAAATTTTGGCTTGGATTTTGGTTCTTTTGTATTATTACTAATAGTCATCTGAATTCTTCTCTGTTCTCAAAGGGCTAAAGTATGCCATATTATGATCACTTAACCAACAAACCATACTGATACCTGCTGTATATCCAACTTAGTTTTGGGAGTTTACAATAGAGACTTAATACCACTTGTTGAACTTTCCAGATCTTAGAAGCAACCTGAAATTCGAGATTGCTAATACTCATCTGCTAGTCATAGTCAACGGAAAACGTGGCACAGATGTCCGTTGGCGCAAACTATTGTATCATATTAGGTCGACGAGGTGAAAGTAACAAAATGTAAGTCAAAGGAGTAAAAATAATGCAGTAGCAATAACAACGAGCATGAAGAAATATTTATAATTTAACACGAAGAAACAACGGGAGAGTATGTATGAAAGAATACTAGGACGCATGGTCTACAGAAAGAGTTTGCGCTACTGTTGATGATTCTGAGCTATGTCACCCAACCTCTCCAATCATTGATACCCGTTATTTCATAGACCCCAACCAGGTAGTCTACACTTACCAACGTGGCTCAGACCAGCAGTGAGCAACGTCTTGGAGTGATTCCGCGTTTTGGTTTGGCCACCTTTAGCTGTTTCTCAACAAGCATCACTTGTCAAGGCAGGTAATGGTTAGGTATACAGAACACATATCACAACCACCTTAGTTAATAAAGATTCACTAGGTCATCAAGCGATTTTTCCTTTTTGCCTGGCATTCTCTGTCTAACATCAATATTAATTCGTTGATATTTTCACGATACGCGAGCAACGTCTCTAAGACAAGTATGGTCGAAAGCCTACAACCTACGGACATCTACTTTTACAGACCATATATCAAAGCCATAGAGTAATACAAGGCAGACTGCTGTTCAGTATGTTCGCCCTTTGTTAGGAGATAAAATTCCTGTCTAGGCTATAACTGACAAGTTGACAAACGCTAAAAGGCCTTTCTGAACCAGTCCTGGGATTTCATTAGATACCAACCGGCCGGGATTATTTATACTTTATAAAAAAGAGAAAAGTCAACGCATTCATATGTTTAGCTCTATCATTAGTTTGAAGATTGGCGCATAAACTATTTCTCAATGCTTCCAAATCTCTTTCTAGGTTTTTCTGCAGGTATTGTAGTTATCAAACTAGAGGTCCTTTTCTTTAGCTATAAGCTGTTAAGCTACTGGCGACAAATTAAGTAATATAAAATATAATAGTATAATATGAAGCGGAATTTTTGGAAGCACAATTGTGTGTATAGAGTTCTAGATCAAATTGCCAAAACCTATTTAGTAATGGATAGTATGTAGATTTTATTTTACTGTAGTGAAAAACTATGATCATCGTACCCAGTTTCACACTAAATGTACTTGAAACTTATGTTCTTATCATTCCATACTTAATAATGCTTTTGGACAAGAGATGCGTTGTTTATACAGTATACCAGCCATTATAAACTTAGTAATACTTATTCAGATATTATTTTTATGTTTCTATCAAACAGGAGGCCCTGAAGAATTTTCAGTTTTTCATTACCCCTTTTTAACGTGTTGATGAATATTTTACAATCTGTAGCTTACTACAGATTTTATGAAATCAATTGTTTTGTAAGAATATCAGGTTCACTTAAGATCTAGGTCATCTTATATCGTAAAATAATACAGAATTATATAATCAGTAAATTTATGCCTAAATAACAAATAACAATGCTTATTACGAGAAACCCTAACGTAATCGAGTCCAATCAACAGCAACGTAGAAATTCGTACGTATGTACATCAGTTCAAGTTGCCATACCACACTAGCACAGAAATGCAATTGTCAATTCAAATCCCATAGTACTAGAGGTAGTAGAAGTATCAGCAGTAATTGGAGAGATCAGGGTTCGACCATATTATTCGAGGCGTAGAATCTAGTGAAATAAAATTAAGAAAATAAAGTTGATGAGGAATTCAGGTTTAGGATTTGAGACAACACAATGAATGAATGCTATTGCGCCATTGCAAGCGCTTTTTAGCCATGTCATTCAGGGTCCCTAACCATCGATTACTATCATCTGGCGGGCCCCAACCAGGTAATCGACACCTACCAAAATGGCTCAATCCAGTTGTCAGTGACTTCATGTGTTTTGGTCTGGCCACCCCTAGCTTTCTTCCAACCTATTCCTACCCATAAAAGCACACGACACCGAATCGGTCACAATCAAATCCATAATCGAGTCCATGGTACATCTGCATATTAATAGAATAACGTCAGACTTTTACGTCACAAAAACAGTATACAAAAGAGAACTTTTGGTTCGCTTTGCCGTAGTAATCAATTATTTACTACCTCTTATTCTTTTTCTTTGGTATTTAGACCATTTTATAATTTCCTTTTGTTTGTTCGACTTACAAATATTTCTCCTATTTCCTCCTACCAACTTGTATTTAATCAGGATAAAACCTTACATCGTTCACTTCAGTTAAGTGTATATATCTAATTTATGCTTACTGTCCTATTATTTTCACCATTTAGACTGTGTTTTGTAGTGTTCAGCCTTTGGTAGGCTTGTGTCTACTCTGAAAGTACCTTGTGTGCTAGGGAGTGTGAGGAGCAGTATATAGAAGAATCTGGGAGATAATAGAACAACTGAAGAAGCAACCTGACTACTCAGCAACTTACATGTATTAATCAAAAAAAAAACACGAAAAATTAGAAATAATATAATTATGAGATTAAGACGATCTGATAATCGAAACTAGAAGTTGATAGTGCGATAGTTTCGTATATGTTACAACTTAATCCTCCTTTCAGTTTACCAATCCAACTAATCGAATTTCTCATTTCATCTTGAACTATTATTCTTATTCTTTATCACCATTATTATGATTATTTTACTATCGTTTGTTTACTGTAATAAATTTGTGCATGCTCCTTGAACTCCATTACATCATGATCTCTCACTTATTTCATTTGTCAACGGATTAAGCTCATATGAATATGAAAAAATAATTATGATTATTTTTACTAATAAACTAACTGACTTTCTGAACTTAACAGAACATTTTATTTATTCGTGCAAATCAGTGCTTATATGTGGGGCAGAGTTAGATTATAAAAAATGAAATGAGTTCAGTTCATTCTTTTACCATATTGTGATTGTTGTTCTTGTTTTAAGAAGATTTATCACAGGGCATTAGTAATTGCATGAAATGTTACCTTTCCATATTTACATTGTATATCAATTTTTTTTTTAATTGACCTTTAGAATTTCTTCTCAAAGATGCAATATCTTGTCTTGGTGCTATAATAAAATTTTTAGATGTAAGTTTTTTATTTTCATATCCAACTTAGATTATATTTTTGAATGTTTTAATTGCTCTGATTCAACCGTTGCACATTAATAGATGTTAAATCAACAAGTGCGATTATCAATCACAATTCTAGTTGTTCCTGATAATTTTTTTCCACATGAGTTTTTGCATTGGTTAATCTCGATAGACAAAAAGTTTTATATTTATGTATATATTACCGCAGAACTTTCGTTATTAAATCTTCAATAGTTGACTTTCATTTTTTCGTGTACTTAAACTTTCTCTTAATTTACGCAGTACTACATCATTCGTTTATGTCACATTTGCTGGATAGCATTGATGATTTTAACGACATTTAAACACTCCGAATTTAATAGCGCTCTTTCTCTCCGAGCTACTTTAAAAGACAAACTTTGTAAAGTGGATTTATTGGGAGGGCTCAAAAAGGATTGTTTTTTTTCTGAACAATACATCGTATTTAGAGATTCAGCATCCCTAACAGCTATATTCGTTATCGTACAATGTAGAAATCGTCATTGAAGTCAGAAAATCGGTAAATGTTACTCTTATAGTAAAAATCAGATTGGTGTTTCTTTGATTTTTCTTAATTTTTTATTGGTCTTTATTGAACTGAAAAATAAAGTAGTTTCTTAATTTTCCAAAGATTAAAGAACTCGATTTTTAAGTCTGTACATGACAAACAGACAATCAGTATGGAAAATGGTATAGATGTGCGTTCAACCTAGATGGCTTAATACTTTAGCATAAGACAAAACTAACAGAATAAATAAATAATTTAGCAGCAGTGATAAAAAGAAAAACCACACCTTGGGACTATGGTCTGAGAAGACAAAATCGAAAGGTTTGTATCCGGAGATACTGAAACTCATAATCGAGAGGAAGGTAAAAAGTAGATGCTTTCGCACCATTATGATCGATTCTGAACCATGTCTCCTCAAAGCCTGGATCGGTAATGGCGATCTGTACATAAAGTGATACCTTGGAACAAGTCTTCTAAGCTTAGATATGTTTTTAACTACTTATACTTATATTCTCCCCACCGTAGCTGCTACCTTGACGTGGTGGCCGGGCTTGACTCTCATGATGACCCAGACGAGCTGTACTGGCTGGAACATATGTTCCTGAAGGTCCTACCATGCCAAGCAGGTCGATTGGAGAACGATGAGACTAGAAGCAGCTACCCAAGGTCTGAGGGTGAAGTCGTAATGCTGACTGCAGAGGGGTGTGACAGCAGTAAGGTGTTTCCCTCGAACAACCAGCATCTGCAGCGATGCTGCCTTCTCACAAGGAAGGAAGATTTAGTAAAGGTCGACCCTAAAAATGTCACACCTCACCCTACTTCACGGATTTCCGTCTCCTTGGGTAAGGGTGCCAGCTAAGGGCTTTCAAGAGCGGAGCTAATACTCAAAAATCCCTTCATAGAAAGGCCGTGCGTGACCGGCCTCAAGCAGTTGTTCCTTGGGCTCTGCGGTCACGCACCCAGGTCTCTAAGGTCGACGCTAATATACCTTCCCTTTCAGGCTCATCTAGAAACAACCTCCCACGGTGTGAGCACCTGGGAAGTGACAACCACCCTCGTACCTGTAACAGCACACGAGACCAAATTGGTAAAAATCAAATCCTTCCTACACCCCCTAGTACCTCTCTTAAATCCACGACTAACTCTTCTCACATTCCTTTATCACACTGCACCGCTAATGCAAACGATGCGAGTTCACGAAACGTCATTCCTGGTCTCTTGAAACCCCGTTCTTGCAGCGGCGATCGGCAACAGTAGACAACTTTTCCGACTTATCAAGGAAACTGGTATTAGGAATCCTAGTGTAAGTGAGACTATCTCAGAAAATAATGGGACTATTATTTATTCTCAGTCCAGGAGACTGGATCGATGGGCAGAACACTTTAGGGATCAGTTCAAATGGCCTCAAGCCACTCTTCGGTTACCCACTATCTCCAGTCATCCTGAATGGCAAATCGACCTAAGTCCCCCTAGGCTTTACGAAGTTGAGAAAGCGTTAGGAAATCTGAAACGAGGACGAGCTGCAGGTCCTGACAGACTGACCCCTGAGATATTTAAGGATGGTGGTCCAGTTTTATCTGCTAGGTTGACTGAGATCTTAGGTAGAATCTGGGATCTGGACATAATCCCATCCGACTGGTCTCAATCCTTGATTGTCCCAATTTATAAGAAAAGACAAAAGTCTTATTGTGACAATCACAGGGGAATAAGTCTAACTAATATAGTTTCTAAAATATTGGCCTCAGTAATACTTCAGCGCTTAACGAAAGCTCGTGAAGAGCAGACTAGAGAAAACCAGGCTGGTTTTCGACCTGGACGTGGTTGCATAGGCCACATCTTCACACTACGACAGGCCCTGGAACACAGACACACATTTAGACGTCCTACAATAGTTGTCTTCCTGGACCTTAAGGCGGCATTCGACTCAGTGGATCGTGAGGTTCTGTGGCAGTGTCTGTCATTGAAAGGTGTACCAAAGAAGTACATTAACCTTATACAAGCTCTCTACTCGAACACCACTGGTCGAATGAGAGCATATGGCGAACTGTTACGGGAATTCTCTACATCAGGTGGTGTCCGTCAGGGATGTCCACTCTCTCCATTCTTGTTTAATTTTATCATAGACATGCTCCTAAATATAACCTTATCCTCGTCTGAATTTTCTGGAGTAGACCTTCTACCAGGTGGCTCGCTTATTGACTTAGAATATGCCGATGACATTGTCCTACTTGGTGAAGATGCTGACAAAATGCAGTCTTCTGACTACCCTAAGCAACAATGCAAGCATGTTCGGGATGCGGTTTTCCCCCTCGAAATGCAAAACGCTGCTTCAAGATTGGGTTGCATCGGCACCTGAACTAGTGATAGGTAGTGAAGTAGTCGAACGTGTAGACCGCTTCACTTATCTTGGGAGTCTCATCAGTACCCATGGCCTGGTGTGTGACGAAATCTCAGCTCGGATACAGAAGGCTCGATTGGCTTTTGCCAACCTGCGTCACTTATGGCGTAGGCGTGATATCTGTTCTCTAATCAAAGGACGAGTGTACTGTGCAGCAGTTCGCTCCGTTCTCCTATATGGCTGTGAAACATGGACAGTGAGAGTAGAAGATATTCGCAGGTTACTGGTTTTCGATCATAGGTGTCTTCGAAGCATTGCTCGTATACCGTGGGACAACCGAGTAAGCAATGCTGTCGTTAGGAAACGAGTTCAATGTAGGGATGGCAAATCAGTAGATGAAGTAATGACACTTCGTCAGTTGAGGTGGTTGGGACGTGTTACGTGTGGCTAACCACCGACTGCCGCGATGGGCTATGTTTTGCAGTGTAGGAGTAGATTGGAAGAAAGCTAGGGGCGGTCAAACCAAAACATGGCAGAAATCCATGAAGTCACTGACAAGTGGGCTAAGTCATGTTGGTAGATGTAGGCTACCTGGTTGGGGTCAGCGAGACGATAGTCGCCTATGGTTAGATACCTTGAATGACATGGCTCAAAAACGTTTGCAGTGGTGCAAGTGCATGCACTCTTTGTGTTCTCTCTAATTCTAACCTTTTGAATTCCTCATAATCTCTATCTTTCTCCTTCTAAATTTATCTCACTGAATTATACTCCTCGAATCATATCTTCGCTCCCTATTCTTCTGCACTACTCTCTAATACTTCTACTATTTCTATCACTCTTGGATTTAAACTGACAGTTGCGTCTCTGTGCTGATGTGGTATGGCAACCTGAACTGATGTACTTACGTACGAAGTTCTGCGTTGTATCTCTCTGTCTGTCTATACAATAAACGACTGCAAATCTGTGAAAATCTAGTCTTAACTTTTTTGATTACTAGTATTGATATTTCTTACTTATGATTAACAATGTAGGTACAATTTAAGTTAAATACACTTTGCAATTAAAAACAGTGACTACACAAATCAGTTCCTAGACAATATTTACATTAAGAAAGAAGAAAATCCATTCTACTTATTCTTTTGCATTGTCGTTGTTATAACGGAGGTTTGGGAAGAATTTTGTTTTGCTCATAAGATATTACTATACTACGATGATAAAACCAATGACCATGTTTATTCCAACACTGGATTAATTACTCGTACGGTACATCACACAGTGACTGGGTCATGTTCCATTAGATACCCGATTCACGGCCAAAATATCAAGCCAGTGTAAGCGATAGACAATAAGCTATTCCTTACGATTACAAGCAGTCACTCTCAATGGGTCCAGGGTAGAAATCAGTAACAGGAAAAGAAATCACATATTAAATAGTCAGTAGGTTACATGCTTGTTTGTTTACACCCAACAACCGATCACATTTTGATTTTACTGTCATACATCGATCACTTAAAAACGAGAAATGTCATCTGTGTACTATCAATCGACAAATGGACATTGTGTATATTAACGAAAATTTGGGGGCTTCATAGTTTTCCTGTTGATACTAGTTAAGCTTCTTTATTTAGTGTCTGCTAATATTTTAAGTTGGGAGATTTAGTTATCTTCCCTATGACTTGGTCCTATTTATATAGTTGAACAGGATTTTTTGATATCGCTTCCTAGATTTTTCTGCCGCGTATTTTTCATTTTCCAATCGAATGTTTGATGTACCTTCTAATTGGCTTTCTTTTTATAGCTACACGCTTCTGATATGAATCGTCATGCATTCACTTTAGAAACTTTTAGTCTTGAAAATCATGTACGTCTAGATAGTGCCGCTAGTCGGGCGTTGCATTTATTGCCTGGTCCAAATGATAGTGAGTGACAAGTGAAGAAATTGTGTATTATTATTATTATCATTATTATTATTGTTTCGGTATAAAGCTCAGCCAATATTCGGTCATATGATATTTACATATAAAAAGCTTACCCACTGATTTTCACTAATCATACAACTTTTGCTTTTCTAAAGACCACCTCTCTTTCTACCGATATAAATAGCGCTTTTTAAATTTGCTTCCAAAATACCAATCACAAGTTTAAACTCTAGTCCACTTGCCGTGATACAGACATTCAGGTAGTTTCACTTGTTCTCACATAGAAAGTGTGTTTGATGGTCAATCAAACAGCCATACACTATTTGATTGATATATTTAATTTATTTGTCAACTTCAAAAATGTAGTGATGTGATTATACCATCTTAGCATTGAGTCAGTAATCTATAACAAGAAATCCAGTAAATATTTGATTAGCAGCACAAATTAATTATGTAAAGAAAGATATGAACAGTGAATAATCATCATAGCGTAATAAGCGTAAACGACGAAATTCTAGAGTTGTATTACTTCTACAGGATATGTATAACGAAAAAAAGAATGGAAAACAGGTTTATTAACAATGTAACATAACATAAATAGAATAAGGCATTCAAAATAAATATGTTCTGTTTCATTACTTAAGCATGAAAATTATTTTAAGGTTATTTTAAAAGACATTAAACACAATTGTAAGTGAAATAAACAAGGGGAATATCATAAAATGACTAGTGGAAGGAGAGCATATTCAAATACCAAGGTATGTAAAATAACAATAACTGGACTTACGATGCGTTGTTGCCGAAAAGTTCTAAAAACTGCTTTGATTTGCTGATACCGTTCTTCACAAACCAACCTCATCTCGCAATAGTATCATTGAAAATCAGAGCACTGGATAGCTGTTTCTCTGGAGTATTGAACTAATCAGTTCTATACAACCACGACCCCACTAGGAATCAAACGCAGAATCTGCAAATCTTATAACTACCGCTCAGCCTTAAAGTTATTAGGTTGGTATCCCGTGTTACACATTTCCAACTTCAATCCATTTGTGACTTTTTTTCGACAATTATTCAATATCATTGGTGATGACTATTTCATTTCCAAAATGTCTGAACTCCATTAATCACGAATCGCAACTGAAACTTGTCTCAAAATAAGTTTTTAGTGAACATATAATTATAGTTTTATTGATAGATATTTATTTATTCTGTATTCAGAGACTTGAGGTTTGGTTATACTTTTCAGCTGGTTATGCCAAAGTAGGTAAAGTTCAATTCTCACGTACAATAAAATTATCGGAAGTAAAATGTTTTAATTATCAAGTGCGCATCTCAATGTCATTTCCTATCAGTTGTATAATCGGTTCTTCTCCCATAATGACAACCGTTTATTGTTGTTGTAAATTATTCATATTTACTTGAATATTTAACGCATAATCTGATATCTCTTGTGACTTCTATTGTCTTAGCCAACAAGTTTCATAGTGTTTATGGTGTACTGAATAACTGTCGAACAGCTCAAGGTCAACGTCTTCTAGCCCAATGGCTTCGACAACCTTTGATAGACAAGTCGAAAATTGGTATGTCATTATAACGTAAAAAATGTTTACAAGATAATTGTTTCAATAGAATTAAAATATATTCAGTATGTTATTATAAAACGCGAACTAAACACTTATTATGCATGATGCGAAACATGACCATTAAAAATAGAGGATATTCATAGGTTAAGAGTTACCTATCGTAGTTATCTTCGAAGCAGTGCACGTGTATTCTGTGACCGAGTGAGCAATACGGAGGTCAAGCATAGTGTACCAGGTAATGACAGTAAATGGTTTGATGAGTTGGTAAATCTTCATCATCTGAGGTGTTTGTGACATTTGTTATGCATGTCTGACTCAGTGCACGATACTGTCCGGTTTAGGAGTAGGCTGGTAAAAAGATAAGGACGTTCATACCAAAACATGACACTACTCTATGAAGTCATTGACAACGAAACCAAGCCATTGCGACAGGTGTAGGCTACAGAACTGTGGTCGTAACCAATATTTAGAGACTTTGAGTGAGTGATATGACATAGACTTTCAAAGCTAAATACATAAATAGACATTCTAATTGAACTTCGATCTCTGTTTTCTTCGACGGATTAAAGAAATAATACTAGTCTTCATTTTTCTTCTTACGATTTTCCACTTGGTTATTACAGTCATTCAGTTAGAAAAATAATACTTATGTTTGTAACTTATCAATTGCGCTTAAAAATGATACATTCCCTTTTAGGATTTTTATCAGTAAAGTTATGTTTCATCTTGTTCTAGTGACATCTTTATTATTATTATTATTATTATTATTATTATTATTATTTCACATTAAATGTAGTAAAAATACAATATATAACATTTAGTGTTCCTTCATAGTATACTTTCATAAACTATTATCAAAGTTGACTTAGTGCTCTCAAATTGTGCGGTGAAAACTGCTATGGTAGAATAACTTTAAGTTTGTATTTTGCCACCTGAATTCTTCACACTCAATCATATTATTATAACATAAATCTTTTAAATTAATGGGTTTGAATATTAGTCTATTGTTACGCTTTACTACACTAATTTATCTATGCTTCTATGACCAGCACACTACTTGGTCTGAATACAATATTTCACTTACTGAGTCGAGAATTTGACCATTATCTCCGGTTAATCTGCCAAGAATTTTTTACCAACATAATTACTACTCGTTTTCTTTCATCTTTTTTGCATTAATACTTTAAAGTTATATATTTCTACTTGGATTTTAATTTAGTTATTTCTCAATTTATAGAAGAACGTTTAGACTTGGTTGAATCATTCGTAGAAGAAACTGGGATACGTCGAGGATTACATGAAGATTTCTTACGTCGTATCCCTGATCTACAACGCTTAGGTCGACGTCTTCAGAAAGTCAAAGGATCGGGTCTTCAGGTTAGTTAGTTAGTTATTAATGGTCTGAGTTTTTCAGTTTCATTTGCTTATTTTTATATTATTATCCCTATCTTTTATTGTTTTCATTCGGGGTTTTATGTTAAACCTTTGATTTCGAGATTGAGGAATATTACCAGTATTATTTAACAAATGACCACTGATTATGTTGATCAGTGACGGTTCAGTGGTTCGTGCACTCTCGCTTCCGAAACCATAATAGGTCTTAGGTACAAACCATTCACAATCTACTTCAGTTTGGACAGATGAGCAAATTGTGGTTGAATATCAATTACATAAGCTTGTACCTGTTAAATAAGTGAGATTTGTTGACCTTTGACCTGAGATTATTAGACTTTTTTCAATCGAATATCATCATTGAATTACTTCACAACTGATGTCTTAATATTTCTAATCATATCATTCAGGAAGTCATTTCGGTACTCATTTAATGTTTTTAGCTGAATTTTTAATGGAACTCATCCATTAAGTACGTGCTTTTTGTGCTTCGCTTCAACAAATACCTTTTACTTGCTGACTAGTGGTTCTACCTGACTGCCTCGAATGAAATAAAGTTTTGTTCGAATACCCAACATAGACCATATTCTTTGCAATTGACAGTATGTACTAAAACACCAAGTTTCTTTGCAATACGAATTGCGCAACTCTATCCTGTAATGCATGTTCACAAATGCCAACAATCATATTGTAGATTATGTTTCTTTTAACCTTCTTTCGCACCTGTAACAGAAACGATTCTTTTTTGATCTATTTCCCTGCAGAATTGTTTCAAAATTTACTTCCTTTTCTTTTGTAAATTTAATGGGTTGAAGTATGCCTTTCGCGAACCGACTTTTATCTTCAGTTCTCAATCACAGATAAACTGTCGGTATTCTTTAAAAGAATGAATTTATTGATTCTTTTTCGCCTCCTACTAGGATGTTGGTAGCTAAAATAAATCAACATCATTCAATTTCACATGTGAACAAATCATCATGTCTTCTATTTTATCCTAGTAACTGACACGTTCAATTCGATTAAATCAGAATGATAATCATTGCACAGTAGTTTATACTTCAATCTTGAAATTTTAAAAAATGATTATTTTAAGATATTTATAGATAAGAAGATACATACATAATGTAATGGTAGTGTGTTTTGTTTTTCAAATTCAATATTTATTCATTCTTTCATTAGTAAATTTTTTGAATATTAATGGATTGATTCGATTTCTTGTCTCATATAAACGATTTTTCCAAGCATATTCTCCCTGCGGTGAACCGAATTCATCTTCATCATTTTCATCCAGTTTTCTTTCAAAATCCCTTTTACGCCGGCAACATTTAGCATTATCCAAGCAACAATTCAGTGGATCACGTAATGTCCAAGGACGTTTTGTTAATCCTATTAAAAGAATAATTAATTGGATGATTAATGAGTTGAACTACACTAGTTGTGGTTTTTCAACAGAACTCTGGGAATTACCTCTGTAGTCAAGTCAGTAGTCTAAATGTTAGGTACTCGCAACAGAATCTGGGGGTCGTGGGTCTGACTTCTAATGAATGAGGATGAGACAGTCGTCTAATTCTTGCTGGTTCCCCATGGTTGTTCATCTAAGATCAGTTCGTTATGTAAACCTTGTAATACTTCATATTTGCCTTATATTGTGTATGGGCAGAATATGCGGATAATTTTCAGCTTTTTATCTAATGACTGACATATTTTTACCACGGGTTCTATATAATTATTAAGTAATAGTAACTAATTTCATACTTCTCGAATACGTACTGCTGGCCACTAACATAAGTGACTTGGTATCGTGTGCTCTATACTTTGATGGTAAATGATTTAAGACGATTGATGGAAAACTCCAGGAGGATGCACAATAATGTTGGATAAGTGCCATAGTGACCTAATGTCCCCCACACCTACCGTTGCCATTCCTGTCCTCTGTAGTTTCGAGAATGACCGTACAGACTGACTAGTTGCAAGAAATACAAATAGTATATAGACTTCACTTAACTAATTAAGCTCTAATTTATTATTATTTATGATATATGTGATATCAAGTCAAAACAGCAGTAGTAATATTTTAATTTTGATAAAATTATGATTTATTCGAGAAATTAAAACTAGTTTTCAGTGGACCTCTAGCTTGTGCTAGTCCATGAAAAAAATCACCTGTATACGGATGAAAAATATTTTTTGCAGTGACTTCTTATTAGTTTCTACTCAAATTTATCACGCTTATTTATTAACAATAATGCCATATGCACATAAACAGTGTATTATGTACTTATTCCTTGTGTTAAACATAAAATATAAACATCAGTTTAGAATTATAACTACAGGATCGGATGATAATGGAATATGCTTCGTTTATGTATACCATCATTTAATACAGTTCTTATATATATATATATATATATATATATATATATATATATATATATATATATATATAATCCTGTATATATAGAAACTACAATACATGCTATTTTTAATGACTGCCAAATCGATATCGATCATGTCATAATAATCGGAAAAAAATTTTTCTATTATAAAAGTAAGTAGCTGGATACCTTTCATAATTTGCTAAATGATTGGCAGATCCAACAATCCATTCAACATGGACTTTTTATCCAAATATCCACACAATTTATCCTGTTCATATCTCACACCACTAACAAACATACAAATAAATATTCTTCACACATTACAAATACGCATTTTTCACACCCACTAACACACATAATTACACAAAGCTATTTTTCACAGAAAAAAGTAACCTTGACCGAAATGACATTGATTGACATGATCGGACCTATTTTAATTGTACTAAAAATATTCTTCTTTGTGTCCTTTTTACTGTTTAAGCTCGTGTTAACTTGCTAATTTTTTATTCTCGGAAAAAGTGGCTTACACTAGGCCACGAAACATCAGAAATCTGATTTCCTACTCATCGAGACTTTAAAAATTTATAAATTTTATTATTAAGTTTAACGATGCTGGGTGTGAGCCAGTTAATCCCCAATAACATTGGAATATGTTCGAGGAATACCATAAATTGATTGAAGTTAGAAATATCATTCAATTGTAATTTAGTGGTTTTAACAGGTAAACGTATGTTATGAGATTTATGCATCTTGGGTTAGATTTTAGTATGAGACTTGTCACTAATGCCCATCTACGACCTTGCTAGGGATCTAACACATGACTCTCTGGTCTTGCGACGAGGACTTAACTAAGAAAACCGATTAGCTGGCATCCAATAGTTAACATTTCTAACTTAAACCAATTCACTACACCGCTCAGTTATATTCCAGTGTTGTTGGTAGTTTGCTGACTTACATTCAACATGGTTGAACTCCATTGGTCTTGTTTTGTCTGTAGAACATGGGGAGTCTCCTCTCGAACTTAGTCACTAGCGAATACACCAAAACCGAGGACCGTGTGTACGAACCCCAATATTGCTGAGGAGTTAAATCGAAACACTTGTCCTCTTTTCTTATTTCTACTAAGTGCTTAACTGTGGTCAGTTCGTGATATGAACGCTATAACTTTATTTTGTCTGGCTCATAACCGCCTACTTGACGAGTTATAAGAAACTGATAAATAACCCTAACACAATTATGTATTCATTCAAATCGTTACAACTACACAATAATAGCTTAAATGAAAAAAGCGAATGCATACTTATTTATCATGTCGAAATTTTTATGAGAGAAAAACATTTAAAAGTAAAAGGGAAAGTAAGCAACAACCGAAAGTAGAATGAGAGACATATAGATCAACGTGATATTTTATAGATGACTGGAGAATAAAAATCAGTATTTGTATTTGCACGACCGATATCTTACTCTAAATAGCTTTACCACCTGGTTTTCTGGCACAAATTTCATTTGCATATTTTTCATTATACAAATGTCAATTATTTCGTCGATTGATGCAAAGTTTTTTTTTGTTCCGTAGTTTTAACTGATGTTCTACCAACACCGACGTTTTTGCTGAAATTAGTATTTGGACTGTTTAAATCAATATGCAAACGAAAAAATACTATATATTAGGTGGTTGGAGGTGGGTGGCAGAAAACCCAAGATTTTAAGTTTCATATTATTTGACACTTTATTAAGGCATACCCAAAACCTTAAGGAAAATGATACCCTTCAATGGGTTCGAATCCGGGTTGCCCAGTTTCGTAGTCTGAGAGGTTACAACAGAGCTCCATAGGTTGTAATTGATCTGTAAGTATTATTTTCAATAAATTCTCATCACGTAACACGATTTTCAACCTGAGTTGATAATCTAAAGTCAAGTGTTCACTTTCAAGATTTAATCTAAAAAAACGTGAACATGAATATAAGACCTTAAATAAAAAGGATATTTAAGCGTTGAAATATCTAGCATATAATGTATAGTTAAATCACATTCTATATCGAATCAAATAGCAAGACAGTAATCACGTCAAGTGTTAGATCACAATTCCGTTAACTTGTTGGGAAATTCACAATTCATCGAACCATCATCAGTCCAGTAGATTGATAACTAACGTTAACTTTCACGGTGTTTGGATAAGATGGTTTACGATAAAACTCCATCTTTATTTGGCCATGCTAGGTGTTCAAAAGTAAAACGTTATATATAATGTAATCTTATCATGTTTCATGAGGGTAATGATTAAATTATTATCCGGTTGGAAGTATTTGTGACAAGTAGATTAAGTTTTCTGTGACATCGTTCATGGTTTGATCCCAGTGTGAGGCCGTTAGATACCAAGGGACATTAGACAGCTGTTTCATCCATGTATGAGATTCCCTAACATTATGCACCCACGAATAGATTGAAGTTCTAAATGTTTACTTTTACATGTCAATTCTGTGATCTAACGGTTGAGTGTTTACCTCTAGATCTGACTTTTTTGGCCTCGATCCCTGTCGGAATGCGGTCTGCGTATTCTGAAATGAGCACACTTCGTATTTCATAGATTCTGATGTTAAAGGATGTATAACGCGATAAAAAGGTGGTATTGTTTTAGTAATCATTTGGTATATCACGCTCATATGATTTTGAGATGGTGGTATGAATTTCATTTAATATGATAGGCATAAACCCTCGTTCATTGAATGTGTATTTTCCAGTAACTCTGTGTATTTTTCCTCATATAACAATATTTTGTATCAAAACTCGTCAACTTGACATCGGTAAAACTACAATTGTTCCCTGTTGTCAAATATAAGCATTTGGACCACGGTTACCACAGTACTGACATTGACACTACAGATATTTTTAAATATGTGTATGCATTTACAGATATGATTCAATTTTTTATGCTTGAATTTTCACATAGCATTTGACACTATGTAATCTGTCGAAACCTGAATAAAAATGATGTTACTCTGTCTCCTCCCCTCGTTTGGTTTGTATTTATTCACAGTTGTTTAAATTTACTGTCAGTGACCGAGGGTAGTTTTGCATTGGTTTTCAGGAGAACCAGACCCTGTCCAGGTGTTAACACAACAACCTGAGCAGTACAGCTCAATCCTGTGGCGTAACCTCACAGGTACCTGACAACCTGGTGGACCATTCACACCATTTATGTACACCTATGCATATAGTGATTTTTTTCCGATTCATGACCGCGTCAGTCTATATGCACAGCATGAACAGGCCCATTTAACTCATCCCTATTACATGACTGTCAAACTCATTGTTATTAGCAATGGTGATATGCATTACGGCATCCCGATGAGAATGACCCTCGGGAATGTTGCATGACAAAAATCAGTATCAATGAAATCGGTAACTGGAAACCAATTTTCTAAATGGACTAATAGCGAAACTTGCCAAACCATCCACATTGTTCATAACGAACCTATGGTCTCATAGGATACTTTCAACTATATATAGCAAACGAAATATTCCTCATAATGGTAATATCTGTCATAGCTAATCAACCAAAACGAAAATATACCGCAGAAAGAATTAATGGAATCGGGCAATAAAAACGATCTGATATTACTAGAACTCAAAATTCATTAGAAAAGTGTCGGGATGGCTCATAGATGCTTCCAGAGGTTCCTAGGAAGCTGAGGCTCTTCCACCCAACCACTGCTCGATAGAGTTTTCAGAATGTCGATGATCAGGCGATGACGTAACTTCACTCATTAAAGAATGGATGACTTTTTATGTTATTATCACTCAATACAAACGGCCATAAATAAACAAGGTATCTCTGTTCATCTCCAACACTAATTACAGTAAGATTTCTTCTGTCTCTTTTGGCTCTTATTTTGCAATCTGGGGGCCTTCCTACTTGTTCTAGTGCCACAGGTTGAATTGTATTTTAATCGGTAAAGTAGCTGACATGAAAAAAGTGAGCAAGAGATACATCTAAATTATTGTTACCGCTTTCGAACATAGTCACCTATTAACTACAACCATTTTGGCTAACTAGATGACAACGACTGAAAGGTCTTCACATCCGCCAACACGACCCAGTATATCAGTTAACAATTCTATCTTTCCATTTGAACCTTTCTAGCAGTAAAAAAAATCTGAAAAATCATTATGTTTACTATTTTCTCAATTGTTGGTTAAGTTACTGTGTTTCTACGTAAACCTCCTACTTCAATATTTGTTAAGTTTAATATGTTAATAAACTATTTGATGTAACATTGAAAGTCAAAAGTTTTAGACCATTTATTTCAACAGTTCAGTGTTTATTTTACATAGACCGGTGAAGTTAGCTTTATAAAGCCTACGAATTCCAATAAATCTGTCAACTATCTAAACTTTGCCTCAGTTTATTTTATATCCAATGAAATTTCATTAAAACAGAAAACCGTAGCTAATCACATGCATAAGTACAAAAAAAACATTTGGTTGTTCATTTTAGTTGAGTTAAGTTGACTAAGTTTTGTATATCGTGATGTATTTCTGTATGTTGAAATAAAGTTGCTGAAGTATAGTAGGAACGTGAAAAAAATCATTCATACACTCTTATTCATCATCGTATTACTCATTTTTATTTTTATGAATTATTAACTTTCAGTGTACAAAAAACTATTTGTTTGAAGTGGAAAAACAATATTATTTACGCTTGCAGCGAAATGTTTAAGTGTGCACCGTGAGACCTGGAAATCCTGGTTTTGATTTAAAATAGGGTCCTAATTAAGTATTAATGAAAAGTCTTTTTAGGATCTAACCCAGCAATTTCAGTACTTATAAAGAACATTTGGCTACTGGGACCACTGTAGCAGCATTAAATGACTGACAGCTTAAATTTCCCTATATTGCCCCAACCATCCTTCAATTATAATGATAGGTCACATATTCGGACAGGAAAGCTGGCCAATGCTACTTGGTTTTCAGTGATTGTCTTACCAAGATTAGTTTGTAGTATGGATTACAAACTTCAATAATCTGCATGATAATATCTCCAATATAAGTATTAAAATTTTTTAGATTTTTTGACTAATTTAGATGACAGTAAATTTATATATGTAATGGGTTTTTTTAATATAATACCATTTGATTGTGTCTCATTTCTACTCCAGTCGGAAACAAACAAACGTACTAGGAAATATTGTGTGAATTAACTCGTCGAATCATTTGATTCGTAACTAGATGAATTTTTTAAACTATGATGATGATGATGACAAGAATTCTCGAGACTCTTGTGCTTTCTGTTAGATGTCATGCTCTATTCAGTTATAATTAACCTTGCATATAATTATTAATGCACAAGTGAAATCCGTATTCAGACAAAATCACAGTTTTCTATGCATATATTTGATCATAGTGTTGTGGTATTCTTTAATTTTTATGGTTTCCAAGTTATATTTTCGTTTCATCCTTTAGTATAATGAAAAATACACTGCCTTTATTCAAGTAAGTATAGACGTGAAATTAAAATAAGTGATTCATTCACCATCTTCACATAATCGATATTTTTCTGCCTTTCTGTCGATGTAAATAACTTCACAGTCAAAATTTTATGACTCACTTTCTATCTATTGACGTCATTACTACAAAGTTTTAATATCCACATTCTAGCAATCACCAAATATCGAATACTATCTCAATCTTTCCTTTCTATCATGTTCACTTGGCCGAACTAATGTTTTGTTGTTGTCGTTGTCGGCATATTTCGTAAAGAACACACAACGATTAATTGAATCATCTCTCTGAGACTGATGTAACTCAACATATTTGGCACATAACAGTTTTATTGCCTCATATTTTTAGTTTAAATCTGTTAGAAAATGTCAATTCATATATATCACTGTTTTTATTTAATTTTAATGTGTAAACAAAAATAATCTAAACACATTACACAATTTCAATAAACAAATTGTATTATAAACAAACAAACAAACGGAAAAACACTCACTTTCTTCATTTTGTAAAATCGACTGTGGATATTCACTCCATTTATTATTAGTGTAGTCTTGTGCAAATGCCACATACAGAATAATTGAAAATGCAATAAGCCTGAAATATTTTACATGGATCATAGTTTATTGTTTTTAAGAAAAAAAATTTGTTGCAGTTCTTTCTCTGTCTTGGAATTTGTTTTTTTTTGTTTTGCTACGGAAAAAGGAAAACTTTGTATCTGTCTCCTTGTTGCGCTTTTTCTCTCTGCTAATTTATTTTAATGAAATCAAAGTATGAAATAATTCATTGAACCATATTCTCACTTTATATCTCTCTATATATATACCCATATAGATCTTCATTTTATTCTAGGTTGATCCAGTAGGTGAGTAGGCAGATGACCCGAATTCATTGGTTCTTTGCATAAAGACCAATCAAGTTAGAGATGTTTGTTTTTTGAAAAAAAAAGAGATGAGTTTATCATCATCAGAAGATGACTCAATTGATTGCAACAGTTCATTATCATTGTTAGCGTTGGATTTTTTGATCAAGTTGCACAATGGAAGAGAATTTTTTTTATGACTATTCCATTGGAAATTCGATGTAACTTACAGATGTCCATTCTCCTTGGAAGATTGTATAGAGAAGATCTGTCGTTTAGATAAATTGCTTTGATGTAATTTTGATTGGTTCTATCAGATATCCTCGAAAAATCTTATATAAGGTAGATATTCCCTTAGACTCTTTCCAGTATATTCAGATAGTCAGATGCAACGTAAACCCTGGTATATTTACATCGACTGAAGTTGACGTTTCCCATTAGCATTACTAATGTGTGAGAGTAAATCCAATAGTAGTAGAAGTACTAACAGCATTAATAATGATATGAAAGAGGAAGTATGCAAAATACAATTCGAGAAGAAAATATAAACTAGCAAAATAACTAAAAAAAAGGAAAATTTATGAAGAATGTAGAAACCTAGAATCTTAATGAAGATAGAGTGAATGTGTTGTGCTATTTCGAAAGATTTTCGTACGATAATCACGTGAAGTCCAACCAGTTAGTCTGTTTGTGATTACATGGTTCAGTCCACTAGTCAGTGTTGTCATGTATGTGTTCGTTTTGCCACATGTAGCTTTCTCCCAACCTACTCCTACACCAGCCATCATCGTTCGTCGAAGTAGACGGTGGCTGGGTATGTGTAACAAATGTTTAAATTAACTCAGTTGGTGAAGACTTACTACTTCATCCATTACATTTGGTTGTGCAAATGTCTGTTTTATGATTCTTCCTAACTGTTGCTATTATATATTTGTCGCTTATACTTCTCCATTTTACAGGATGTCTATCGTATATATCAGGCTATTTTACGCTTACCATATGCTGTTTCTTTATTGAATCAGTATACTGGTTCAAAAAAACCAACTGTTTACGAGTGTCTCATAACTCCTTTACAAGTAAGTTGGTTTTTAATTCGATTTCTATTCTTCATTTCTTGTCTATATTCGATTATAATCATTCAAGTGATATATATATATATATATATATATATATATATATATATGTATATATACCATCTTTAACAATATTCATTTGATGGTTTTCGGTCTGTTGATACTATCCTAATGGATATGTAATGTGGGAGAGTAAATCAGAAATCAATTAATAACATAAGAATTTGGTCTAGTCAATAGTTCACAAATTCACTGATTGATTAGTATAAACTCTTCTTTGTTAACTTGTACACTATATGATGTGTCGCAGTTGGGGATCTCGAGTAGCATGGAATACATTCAGTTGCAGTGCTACAAATGTATATATCAATTTTTTTTTGTCTTCCTCGATACTTCTGATCGCCCAGTTGTATTCATTCCATCCAAAGTAGTTTTCCCGCTGTAATTAATAATTATGATCTTTTTCTTCTTAAATCGTTTCTTTTCCTCTATTACTCTCATTCTACTGCTGTATTGTTGTTTAGGTGTCTGTTAAGTTGACCCGTAAACACAATTATGTGTTCTAGGTTCTGTGCGTTGTTAATGATTGACTGACTGGTTAAAATACTATTTTTTTTTAAGAATGATTTTATACATCCATACCATAGTCAATGTATTTTATCCCTTTTTTCCAAATAGATAGAAATAATATCTAAATTATTCTGCATCAATTAGGTTATGTGAATGGTTTGGGTTCATGTTTCCTTTTATAAAGTAGACGATTTCGTTTCATGAAATACTTTAATGCCGATATATATCTAGTAGTTGATAATATTCAGTACTGCGGCTGATCACAATGTTGGCCTACGTACCTTGTGTAGATTATCTTGACAAATCCAACTGATGAGTGTCGAATAGGACGAAATTCGCATCTTGAACCTCCAGTGATAATCATTTTTAGTAATTCAAATATGTTTTTTTTCAAAAGTTGTCTTACATCATTCTTTTCTGGTCCATTCCCGTATGTGTTTATTAGTGATGATACAAAAACAGGTGTACTGTTATTGTGAGCAGATATGGTGTTGATTCATTTATCCTGAAATGTATAAACAAAAAACAATTTTTGACCTCTTTTTTCTCAGCATTCCTATTATTATTATTATTATTATTATTATTATTATTATTATCCTTACCACTTCACGATGGTCACTACTGACCAATGAACAGAGTTGTATATGCTACTGAAAATTTGATTAAATGAAAATATGCATCAAAGTAGCATGTATATTGATGTGAATTACTATTTGTGTTTACAATCTGTTGTTTATTTCACATAGATTGTATGGAATTGTTTTTGTGAATTATTTTTTTATGTATTTATTGTCTTACCAAATTTATCATGTCGATAGTGTTGCCACTTCATCATAGTTCCCATGTTTACTTGATGAATATGTAGGTATACTGAAAAATGTACTATAAAATTCTTTTCTTAAAATGTTGCTAAAATGATAAGCAGAGATGAATGTTGGTAGCTAACAATAGAACCTAGAACGTGCATTTTTTCCTATTTTACACCCGTTAAGTGAAGTTAAAATCTTTAAACCTATCTCAAGTTATTAGTACAACGTGATGAAATTGGCAACACGAATGGCAAAGTAAATGGGATTGATATGGTAGTAATGGCGTGCTTGAGAAAATAGTCAACATCATACGGAATTCTTATGATGGATTCAACTACAAGATCGTGCACTCAGGACAAACTCGTTCGAAGTAAAGGCCGTTGTCAGGCAAGGTTGCTTACTCTCGCCCTTACTCTTTCTTCTGGTGATCGAATGGATTATGAAGACCCTAAACAGTGGACAGCTAGGATGCAGCTGAACGATCCAGACTTCGCAGATGATCAGGCTCTTCTATCGCACACGCAACAAATTCAGGAGAAGACGACCAGTGTAGCAGCAGCAGTTGGTCTCAATATGCATAAGAGGAAAAGCAAGATTCTCCAACACTCACCAACCAAATCACAATTGATGTAGATGCCTTGGAGGATGTAAAGACCTTTACATATCTGAGCAGCATCATTGACGAGCAAGTGTTTATTAACAGTTGTCTACGCAAAATACTTCGGATCCGTTGGCGAGGCACTATCAGTGACAACCCACTGTGGGAAAGAACAAACCAGATTTCAGTAGATGAAGTAATCAGGAAGAAGCTCTGGAAATGGATGAGACACATTAAGGAAAGTATTCAACTGTCTCACAAAACAAGCCCTCACTTAGAATCCTCAAGGCCAAAGGAAAAGAGGCAAACAAAGAACGCATTACGCCCAGAAATGGAGACAGACATGAGAAGAATGAATAAAAATTTCACAGATTTAGAAAGGAAGGCCTAGGACAAAATTGGTTGGACGGCGGCTTATGCTCTGTTGAGGGTAACAGACGTAAGTAAAGTATAGTATAAAAGATTGAACATAAAGACAGAAAAAATGTGTATACGTGGAAAAACACTTGAAACCAAGTCTTAGAGAAAAATAACGAGTAAAAGTATTTGTATCACTGTGATTGATTTTGAGCTATATCTCATAACCTATCCAACAACCGATTTGGGTTACCAAGATGTCCTCAACCGAATAGTCTGGGTTCATCAACGTGGTTCAAACAAACAGATATTGGTTTTATGAACTAATTCCACTTTTTAGTTTCCCCTTCCCTCATTATATATCCTTTACCAGCTAACTCCTATATCAACAAACATCGCACATCAAGGTAGATGGCGGCTTGGCATACATAATACACCAACCACCTCAACGCGATCAATTGATCCATCTTATTTGGTACTCTACATCTAAACTCAAAGTCGCTCACTTAATCGTTCTGTCACACATAAACAACGTTTTCATTTTTCACAGAACATGAAATTCCATAACACTGATTGGAAAGCATTCATTGAATATTTAACAATAAACTGTTTGTTTCTAATACACACTCTAGTTTTCAATGGACAAGATCAAAGACTTTTAAAATCTGTTTGTTATCGGATTTTGTTTTTTCTAATAGGGTGTATAAAAATGAATTCGTGAAAATTTATCAAAATAAAAATCTGAAATTAGCGCATGGTCGAGTTTCGATAAAACTTTGAATGGATAATTAATTCTGCTAGTTATATAAATAGAAATACATTAAAATAACTGTATCCTGTTAAAACGAATAATTTCATACGTTATACGCATAAATTTGTACTCTCTGTTCCTAGTTTAACTGGGATTTTGAAAAAAAAGTGGAATATTATCACATTGTTCCTATTTAATAGCAACCTCAGAAAATTAACATCCTTATATATGAATTTAGTTTTCACTTGTTCTTATTTGTACCTCGTTTATTTATAATTTATGTGGTCTGTATATAATCGCTTAGACCATCAAAAACTCTGTGCCAAATAATTCAGCGTATTGATTGCCGATTAGTAAATATGAGAATAAACGTATCACGTTGTTATGATCTCTGATTCGTCCTGTTTGATACTAGATTTAAAATTTATGTAATGCAATCGGTATTATTATTAGTAATAATAATAATACTATTATCATTAAATTCTGTATCCATTTCGTTATTATTTTCAATTATAATATTCCATTTATAAATATACATCTGAAATGCTTGTTGTATTGTCATTGGATAAACGTAAAATCACAATGAATTAAAGATTCATTGAAAATCAAATGAATGAAGTTCGCTCTGAATAAATGCAAAATATTAATCATAAAGAAGTTACATTTAAGGTACATGGTCTTTCACTAAATTACTCCCTGCTGAACAGAAGGAACGGTAACTATGAGAACAGTTTCAGATAAAACGTTCAAACATTTACCGATACTCATGCGGTCTTCGTTGCTTCGTTATATTGTGTTCCTTTTTGTGCAATTCGCTCTCCAAACATTCAGGTTTCAAAATTATGATCCTGGCTTTAGTTTAAGTTAGTTATAAACAACACACCGCCAACCTAGCATAAATATGTATCGGTTTCCTCGAGATTGCGGGTATGACTTCCTAACAAATATGGATTAACACAAAATCTAGATCGGGCATCTCCTGCCAGCTACTTTTAACTACTTAATAAACTAGGTAGTTCTGACTCAAAAGGTCGGTGTCATGTTATGTTTCTACCCAACTAATATTTGCGAAGGGTATTATTCTTTGAATCTCCTTCGAAGTAGCCGTAGGTGTTTCTTACTTTTTTTGTGAAGTGTAAAGCTATGTCAAAGCACAAAGCAACTAACAAGTCATCAAGCATGATAATAAACTCATTTTTTTCCCTAATCTTTCTCTCTAGGAAGCCATGGATAACTTTACTCTATTTAAAGATCTGGTGGAATCCAATATAGATTTGGATTACGTTAACCAACGTAATGAGTTTATTATACGAGCAGACAAAGATCCGTTGCTTCAAGGTTAGTGTCACATTAATCACCCCCCTTAATATGATTGTTTTTCAAGATGTGTAAAGATACATTGGTTTTCTATTGAACCCATATTACTCTACAGTGAAGACTGATTTTCTTGATTCAGAGAAAAAACTACTACAATTTAGGTTTTCAGTATCTAGGAGCCTAATTTCCGCGTCATTCATCTGCTTTATTGTTGTGAATAAGTTTTAACATGGATATAAAGTTATTCGTCAGTGTGATCTTCAACACTTCACTATGAGTAAGATTATCACAATAAGCTACCTATTAGAAATCACATATTTTAGATATTACTCTATTCCTTAAACCAAAATCTCATTTATTATTTACGCCTACTTTTCTTTTAACTGGTATTTGGCTAAATTAACTCCTACTCTCCTCACTTTCGTTTGAACGGTCGGTTATCATTATCACTAGCCTCCACACCCAAAAAGTTGTATTTTAATGCTGAGTTCCTAAACCTGTATTTTGTTACGTTTCATTATAGCCAATGCTGGTAATGTAACTTTGGTATGAATTTACATCGACTGAGGTGGTTAGGATATGTACCACTTATGCCCAGCGACCACTTACCTCGTCGCGCTATATTTGCGTCACTTAGAGTACTTTGGAAGAAAGAAAGCTCGATGGACAAACCTAGAACTAATATCAGTCCATGAAATCACTAACTGTTAGTCTAAGTCTTTTTGGTAGACGCCAATTACCTGGTTAGTTTCGGTTCAATTATCTTAATGAATAATTGTAGTCGTTGAATGGCATAACTCAAAGGCATTCAGGAAAGTGTAAATCTATCCACTCTCTTTTTGTCTTACCTGAAACGTTAGTTTTTTGAATTGTATGATATTTCTTTCTTTTACGACTGAATTCATTCTTCTCCAAATACAGCTAATGTTTCCTACTACAACTGATACTACTACTAATACTGCTATTACTACCATTTCTACTACTTTAATATCCATCTTGATAATCTTATCTGACTGTGCTTTGTGACAACTTGAACCTATGTGTACATATTTATTCCTAGTTCTACGTCGTTTAAATCTGACTTGGCAGCTTAATATAGCTTGATGGCACAATAGAAAATTAGCATATATCAACCAACCTCGCGTACATATTAACTTGTGTTCTATGTTTCTTTCAAAATTTCATAATACTTTGATCCACCTAATTGATCCGTCTTGTAATACTAATATTATTATCATAATTACTATTTAGCGGTAATAAATTTATATGCAATTCTTTTTCTCTTGAAAAAAATGTTCCCCTTTTTTTAAAAATCATAAATAAGCTGTTCGGTTGTTGTGTTTTTTTTTTTGATGCAATCTATTTACCTCACGCTTGTTCTATACTTAAAGTGACTGTTTTTGGCATTAATAATCTATTGTTTATAAATAATTGTTTTATTATTATTATTATTATTATTCACATATAAATTAGAAATAAAGAATAAATTAGACAATTTGGAAGAAAGTATTCGAGATGAGTTTAGACGTGTAAGTACCTATTTATAGTTGATTCGTATATTTATTATTATTTTTATGTATGATTACGTTTAAGAAATATGTTCCGTGAATACTTACTTGTTAAACATTACAATACTTTTATGAATAGAAAATGGTGCGTAAACAGTGTATAGTAATCGGGAAAAATTAATATAAATTACATTAAATTGTCCACCTTTACACTCGTCCCAGTTTCACGGCGAGTTTGATCATTCTGTGGAACGTTGTTTATTATTATTATTATTGTTATTTATTCTAAATATTGAACTAAGTAGTAGTATTAGTAGTGTATTTTCTAAATCAGATCATAGAATTTCGAGTGAACATATGAATAACTTAATTAATAGAGATCAACTGTTCAATCAGAGATTACGTGACGGCGTAATTGTGGTCGAATATAGAATAAAAATGTATACTATGTACATCGATTGGGTTGAATAAATTTAATTTTTAAAAATTATGGATGAATGGTGTTTATACAATTTAAAGGTTTCATCTCACAGTTGAGGTGACTATTGCTTAGTGGATTCATAATCTTTCCGATTACCGCTAGTACTGTTACTACTCTACTACTATAGGATTCGAACTAATAACTCCGCCTCTGTATGTTAGTGTGGTATGGGAACTTGAACTGAAGTACTTACGTACCAAGTTCTATAATACAATGAACAGATTTGGATATATATATATATATATATATATATATATATATATATATATATAGGTTTACATGCTGATCATTATTTCCATACAACAATAATAATTTTCATTTAGATAGAAATATTGAGCAGTTAAGATTGTGTTTTTTATGTCAAGTTTAATAATATAACATTCCAGTCTTTTGTTTAGTTTTTGAAAAACCAAAACTAACTAAAACACGCTTTATTGTGCTATCATCAGGTTTTTAAAAAATAATTAAATTAATGAGATTAGCTTTTTGTTTTATTCTCAGCGAAAGGCGTTGTATTATTGTGAAAATTTGCTATCGTACTGAAAGTTTTTCTCACAGATATATATATATATATATATATATATATATATATATATATATATATATATATATATATATATGAGGACAATATGCTACGTATTTGTTTTTGACAATATAAATCTTACATTTTAGATTAAAAATAAAAGCATTCTTGTATTATGCATTAAAAAAGTCATTATACAGTTTTTCTCTATGTATAAAAGAAGCTTATAATTATTGTAGTTGGATAGAACTTACTTTTTACAACATTAATTTCTCAAGCAAATGAATTATTATTATTATTATTATTATTATTATTATTATTACTATTATTATTAGTGTCATGGTATTTGTATGTTCATTTTCCTATATGGTATGTAACTGTTAAATATGTTCTTGTTATTTATGGGATAAAATAACCTATTTGTGAATTTGTAGCTTATCCGTTTTTCAATATTCAGTTAGTGTTTGTGAAAATTTTTCCACAATTTCAACGAATGAGTGTTGTTATCGAGTGCATAATTCTCACTGTGTATTTCGTTCCAAGCCACAGTTTTTTTTTTAATGTATTTACTTTTTTAATCCAGAAAATTCGGACTTACTGCAGTAGTATGCTCATAGAAGATATATATAGATAGATAGTTTTAAATGAGTATCAGTGTCTCTTGATTTGTCTGATGATCATACTGATCTCTTCAATTGTTTGTGGATGAACATCATTTTGAAGGTCTCTATGTGCTGGTTCGATGCTCAGTGAGGCTGGTCTATTCAAAAGTTCTCCACAGTGCTCTACCCCCCTGTTTCTCTGTTCTTGAATGTCAGTGATCTGACCATTTTCCTTGTCCTTGATTGTTAGTTTATTATATTTCTCTTGCAAGCTCTTTCCTGGTATCATATATTTGTCTCATGTTTCCTTCGTCTACAGCTTTTTCTGCTATCATCGCTAGATCGTCCACATACTTACGTTTTCCAGCCTCAATGCCTTTCTTCACTTGCTTGTTTGTTTCAGTGTATTCGGCCTGTGTCTTGGCTTCTTCTGTTCTTGTTCAGCTGTTATTGATTGTTGTCTTCCTGTTCTCCCTGGCTTGAATCTTATCCATAATATCAACAGAGATCCATTCCTTGTGATGGTGCTTCTTGTGGCGTGAAACTTCATAACATGTTGAAATTAATGTTTCTTTGATCGCTTTCCAGTTGTTCTCCATGGTAGGTTCCTCTTCATCGAGTAGATTGTGAAAAGCTTGTAACTTATTGCTGGGAGCAATGTTGAATTAGTTGGGCTTGTCAGAATCCTAAAGGAAAGCCGTATTAAACTGCTGCAGTCTGGTGCTCCTCTAGCTTGGGTTTCATCTTTGCCACTACAAAGCAGTTAACTTGGGTTATGTCAGTTCCTTTCTTTGTACTTACGTCCACATTGGCTTTGTGACTGCCGAAGAAACTTGGCTTTCATTATAAGGTCTGATAGCTCTTTGTAATCAAGACCTTCCAACTGCCAGAACAGAATTTAAATGGTTTAAATTGTTTTTTCTTGTTAGCGTTTTTTAGCGAGTTGTTTTTTTACAGGTTTGTGTCTCTAACTTTATGTCCAATCCTCTAAATTTTTTGGACTTTGTTTTTGTAACAATCTCAGATGCGCTTCAGGAGGAATCGAAATCTGGTGCATTAGTTGCGCATCACTAATCATATATACTTACAAAGCGTTCTGACCTCTGGTTTTGAACCTCACTCCACCTCTGTAGATTTAGGCAATTTGATTGTATCACTAGCCATCAGTATATCCGTACCCAGTAAATTAATCAGTCATTATATTATCCAATCTTATTAGGCAGTTAGTCGGCTATTGATTTTAAGACTTTTGTTCTCAAGTAAAACTACGCTCAAATGTATATTCATAATCTTGAAGACGATTTATTTCTTATGAATTTTTTTCCCCAACAAAAGCTTTAATAATCTTAAGCAACACTTCAATTTATTAATTCATGTTCTTTTTGAAAAATGTTTTATCTACGAAATATTATCCATGATTTATTCCAAGAATAAAATTCGTATAATTTCTTTATATGAATCTGTAATAATTAAATACAATGATTATTGGTGTTATTTATAGATACTAATTGTCGCTTATTCATTATTCATAGAATTCTAATGTTATCTCATTGAGAAATGATTATTGAGGAGTGTTTTCATGAATGATTTATTGATTGGTCAACTGGTTGCTTTATTTAAACTTTGGCATTCAATGAAAATTAATCTAATATCTGACTTTTTTCCTTAATTTTACAAAGTTTTCTTTTCTTTTTCTTTAAGTTTCCACAATTATTATCATTAATATTTTATTGTTGCTAATTAAGTTGTGTGACAATTTGGACCAATGAACATATAAATCTAATTGATTGCCTTTTTCATCTGTTTTTACAATATCTTATCGTAACTTTTGTTCACTTTCTATTCGATTGATTTATTGTGCGCAGTGTATCATCATTCTCAATCTTCTTATTTCTTATTTTTTTTTTAAAAAAAAAATAATTTTCAATGTATATATTATTTTGATATTTTGGTTGACTTTTCTCTTTTCGTACATCATAAAAATTCGGACATAACTAAACGCTGCCTAAGCTGTTTCACTTTTTTTTTACTGTTATTATTACTGTTCAAGAAACTATTCTATCAGTAAATGGTATATAATGGTCATGCTGTAGTAAGTATAATTTGCTTGTAGAAAAAAATTGTCGGTGATCCTTAATCCCTTTTCATCTTTTATGTTCCAATACCATTGTGTTTGAATTGCCGAGTGTATTCTTAATAAGCATGACTACAGCTTCATATTAAATTGACATGTTTTTTTTTAATTTTAACATTACAAATCAATGTTTTTTTGTTGTTATTTTTCTTGGTTTTTTGCTATTTAACACTCATTAGTAAGATTTACCTCTTATCGTCAAGTAACTGGTGTGTCGTTATGGATTCAGTCCGGTGTCATGCAGCGTCACAGCCACAGACGTTACCACAGCTGACCTGTTAGAGGAATCAGATATATTTATAATTGATTGATCTTTAAGTAGTGACCATTGTCATGTATGTCATCTCCTCTTTTTGGTGTTGATCGAATACCTTCGACTAAGTCTTTGGTTTCCTGTCAACTACTTTCAGCCAGCATCTAATATCTCAACCTAATTCATGCAATGGTGGTTCAGTCAGACTAGTAGCCACATTGCAACTTAATTGATAGAATTCAATTAGCGCTAAAAAGGACTTGACATACATTGATCTTTTAACGATCAATCAATTGTTAAGACTGTTAAGTATTCACATTCATTTTTTTTATTTGAAAGCAATACATGCAAAAGTAATTATCAAAATAAGAAACCCTTTTAAAGAAGTTTAAAAGTCTGATTAACTGGTACAAACATAAGTCAAATAGAAACTACTTATAATGGATAAAACGATTTTTTTCATAGTTGTTTTACTGATTTTATTTAATGATTCTTACCAATTATATGTGTGATCATTACCTGCTATTCTTTGTTGTATTCTTATCATCACATTAATCAGTATATTTAACAATTTCTTATGTAGTGCGCAAAAAAGCTGAACTTGGAACAGAGCAAATCTATCAAATTGGAGAGTAATGAACTACATGGATATTTTATGCGTGTCACACTCAAGGTAAATCAATGCATCTATATGCATAGTCTGATTTCAATTTTCAATAGTCAAACGAATTAATTTATTTAAAACTCATCAAAATGGATACCCGTTGTAGGAAATCAACTGGGAAGTGGGGATGGACCAACTAATGCCAGTTTTATACAGCCTTCTTTCATACCATATCTTCATGTCACAAGTTGACCATCTCTCCTCTCCTACGTTGTACTAGCTTCCGGATTTAATATGCGATGCAGAAACTGATAGAATAACATTCATAAGACGTATCCAAGCCACCGAAGCATTTCAAAATAGTGACGTTGATTGAATTGTCGTGACTATATTAAACACTGATGAGATGTAAGCGCGACCTATTACAGTCGAACTAGCATCACAGCGACCTCATTATTTATGAATTCGACATTCTGAATATAGAAAATGTTTACGTTTAATGAAGTCTTCATCACAAGTTAATATCAGTTGAACAAACATCCTGAATTTTATAGTACTCTATAAGTATGTATCTTTTGGCTCGTTTGTTAGTGGTCAAGATGTGTACCATAGTTAGTCATTAGCAAGGATTTGGTTTCTGCAACACATATCTTTCAGTATGAGATTTCTTCAAACAAACCTTTTTATAACGTTAGGTAACTATTTTCTGTTACCTGTAATTGTATTTGCTATAAAACAAGTATGTTTAGAGTGCAATAAGCAGTCGGTACCTGACGTGGTATACTGAACATATTTCTAAAGTCTGACATTATTGGCTCATGTGCATACTTTGTCCTTAAATATTTTACTGTTCAATGCATTGAACAATTGTCACACTATGTTGAAAATCCATTGTAGTCGAAACTGTTCTGCCATAGGACGCTAGCTCAATGTTTATAATGTTTAGGCATACATTATGAAATTCGAAGGTCTTGGTTATGTGGTGAGTTCGTGAACATATGCACTACTCAATAAACCCATACCACGACAAAATATTTATCCCATCATTTCTAGTTTTTAACAGTACCTTAACTTTTCTCATTCTGTGATAGATACAATACGATTTTCATAAAATCCCTTCAGCTGAAAAATAGAAGAATTTCATAGACTACAAATTTATTGTGTATACTCTGTACGTAGCTGATGTTTATCATTATAAGATTATGTTGTTAATGGTCAAATTCGACTAACTATCGTACACATTTTTTATTGTCGTCCACTCAACTCTAATTTTATCTGTTCACAATCTGTGAAATATTGTTTTTTGATATTTTACCCAGAGAAGAAAAAAAATTGTTGTAGTGATTCATGCAGAATATGTCATATCACATTAATGTTTATTCTCATTCATTACTGTTTACTTCTTTGTATTTCTTCTTTTCGCTCTCGTTATACTTCAACTGTAACAATAAACAATTATGAATAAAAGGATGAGAAATGTTTAAGAGAATTTAAAACATTTGAAATTTTGGACACACAAAAAGGTGGTGTACGTTTTCGTAATGATAAAATGACTTCATTAAATGAAACTTATGCTGATGTGAAACAAGAATATAACAGATTACAAGAAGTAGTTGTACATCAAGTTGTTTGTGCTGCAGGTAACAACTGTTTTACAATTAACACTTTGATCAATATCACTATAATCTTTATCTAGCGTCTACTATATCATATATAGCCTACAGTTCTAGACTTGGCCAATTACACTTTTGATTCGCACAGTTAACCTTGAACAGACTTATGCTAAACTCCTATTGACCCAATATCCATAAACTCCTATCTATCCTCTGTCTTGAATACAAAGAGAAATCACCAGTCAACCTCTGTTATCACTATATTTCAAGCACACATAAGTTTTTTTACAAACATACTAAACCACATGACACGATGAATTCAAAAACCACAATTATGCATAAACACCTGAAAAAGTGATTGTGTATATGGGCATGCTGCGCTTAGTTGATTGACACTAAGTTGGGAATAATAAACAGTTTATAATAATAGTTAGTTAGTTAAATGATAAATAAACTAAAGAGACATGATAAACCAGCTACTCGGTAAATTTATACAATAAGAACGAATACATAATAATATTAGTCATCCGTAAATTACTTCTAGAAGTTACCAAATCTCTTATCTTCATTCTGATACGTCACTATTATCAATAGTCATGTTGAAATGTTTTCGTATATATATAAATTCATTTTTTTTTGTTTTTCTGTTGACGATGTTTCTCTATAACCATTAACTCTAATATTATCATTCCGAATGTACTACCATATATTGATTAGGTAATAAATTTCGGAGGTGTTTTGTCATCTCAGTTTGTGGATTTAATCTCGAAGTATGTATTATCTCTCTTTGCAACATCATCAGTACACACTGTAGGAAAGAGTAAGATATTACAATTTTTTCAGATCTTCATCAGTCGTTGATTATGATAATCACATAAAGCCAAACCAGTTAGTCTCTACGTGACTGCATGGTCCAGTCTACTAGTCAGTGTTTTCATTAACTGATGTTATTTCTTGGTTTTGCTACTTTTAGCTTTTATTCTAACCTACTTCTACACCATTCATCTTCATCCGTCAAGGACAAAAATCAGACGAAACATGTAAATAGGAGGTCCTCACAATTATAAACACCGATCACTTGAATTTCAGGTCGACGGAACTAGTTATTTGTTAGTTGTGAAAAAAATTCTTAAACCTCACTTCTTAATCTTAATCTTCTTAAGAACGACAACTAAACCATTTATGACTTCGAACTTTGAATGAAAAAAATACTTAAAAATGAATACAACAGATTCAAAAACAACTATTAGTCTAAATAAGTTGTTAAGATAAATATTTCATTTTGAAATGTTTTTACACAAAAAAAACAGTCTTTTACAAATAACACGGAAAATAAACTGGAAATTCAATATAATACAAATTAAATGACTTACGGACTTTGTATGAACAACTGGTAGTGTAAGGTTTTGAGGCATTTTTACAATTTACTTTGAAATTCGACAGTTTCGTTTCCTTTCTCTTCACAATAGCAAATACTGTGAATGAAAAGCATTTCTAGCTAACAACTTCGCTAACAAAATGCAGTCTTCTGACCACTTTAAGCAGCAATACAGACATATTCGGGATGCGATTCTCCCTCGAAATGCAAAATGTTGCTTCAGGATCGGTTTGCATCAGGACTTAGTGATAAGGAGTGAAGTAGTTGATTGTGTTGACCGCCTCAATTATCTTAGGAAACCCACAGTGCTGATGGTCTGGTGACTGATGAAATCTCAGCTCGTATACAGAAGGCTCGATTGGCTTTTGCCAACTTACGTCACTTATGGCGTAGGCGAGTGTACTTTGTAGCAGTTCACTCTGTCCTACTCTATGTGTGTGAAATATATCCTGCGAGAGTGGAAGATATCCGTAGGTTACTTGTATTCGATCATAGGCCTTTGACTTCGAAAAATTACTCGTAAATCCTGGGACCACCGAGTAAGCAATACTATTGTTAGGAAATGGATGCTAGGTAAGAACGACAAATCAAAAAGGAAGAAGTGAAACCTCATCAGTTGAGGTGGTTGGGAGATGTAGTACGAATGCCCAACCACCGACTGCCCCGACGAGTGATGTTTTGTGATGTCAGGGTAGGCTGGAAGAAAGCTAGTTGTAGCCAAACCAAAACATGGCACAAATCCATGAAATCGTTCACAACTGGACTGAGCAATGTTATTAGGTGTAGACTAACTGGTTGGGGTCCGCGAGACGAAAGTCACCAATGGTTAGAGACCTTAAATGATATAGCTCAAATTGTTTGTAATGGCACAGGTGTATCCACTTTGTTCTCTCGAATTCTAATCTTCTGAATTCCTCGTGACCGTTTTTTTCTTCTCTTTTTTCTACATTAATTCCACTGGGATATACTCCTCAAAACATACCATCGATCTCTGTTGTTTTTGATTACTTTCTCTACTACTATGGGATTTGAATTGACAATTCGACCTCTGTGTGCTAATGTGGTATGGCGACTTGAACTGATATATACGTCCGACGTTCTACGTTGCAGCTGACTGACTGAGTTGCATTACATTTATCAGTTATTTTAAAAACTTACTTCCTTTTTCCAACTTTGTGTCAGCAACAATTTTTTGCTGAAAAAAACCCAATAAAAATACAATGATTAGATTACACTGTTCTAAGAACAGTACACATTTTAAATCCTCATCTTAAATTACAAATATTCTTCATCATTGTGTTAGTTTATTATTATTATTATTATATATCACTTGCCAGATTCTTCAAACATACTTCATCTCCGCCTGATGTTTTTTTTTCTTTTCTATTAATTCTACAATAAAATAGCTACTTATCTAGAACCTATTAATCAATTGAATGCAACTACTGCTCTCTTAGATGTTATTGTTAGTCTTGCAATTGCTGCTGTTTCATCAGCTGGTTTACCGTATATTCGTCCAAAAATTCTCTCTGAAGATTGTGGTCGTATTATTTTGAAAGAAGCCCGTCACCCATGTTTGGAAATGCAAGATCGAGTCAGTGTTATTCCAAATGATGTACATCTGGAACGTGGTAAATTCCGTTTTGAATAAATTTTTATTACTTCACAGTCTTGATGAATTTTTTTTTATTTATCACAAATCAATCATCCTAATTAGTAAAAGTGAATGTTTTCTTTTAGATTTTAATTCTTGCTGATTTTTTTTTCTCTCTCTGCATAAACTGAACGTAATTTGTTGTCGACTTTTTCTATCTGTTTTAGCAAATGTTTTCCACTTCATAACACACGTGACTATATTGTTTTCTTTAATATTTCTATTGAAACTATATAGGCAAGCAAATATTTCTAACTATTACTGGTCCAAATATGGGTGGCAAGTCAACTTATATACACAGTGTAAGTTTCAAAAAGTAAACAGAACACTATATAACATTATCGTACTTTTGATTCTATGACAGAATTGAGGCGTGTGTGTGTGTGTTTATGTATGTTTGTATGTTTGTGCATAAGGGAGAAAGAAGACTATCAACAGCCCATGATGTGCCGTTTTTTATCATCATCAAGGCCTTTAAGGAAATGACATTATGTATATATCATTTAAAATTTAATCGTTCAACCGGTAAATTGAAGATTAGATTTGCTGTTTACTTAGTTTTCTTTGTTTACTGTAATATATCTGTTGAAGTGTGTACTGTGTCATGTTGTTTTCCTCAGGTTGGTAGTATTTTTAACTATGAGTTTGTTGATAATAACATTATTATTCATTATGTAGTAGTAGATGGATGATCCATTTTTTATAGAAACCATGTATCGATCATTTTGCTCACTAGAGGAAATTCTCGAAGTTCTAGTAAGAAACCGTCATCAGTGGAGTTCAACCCTGTCGGGTATAGACAGTTAGTTACCTAGCAAAGACAATGAATGAGGTCGCAAAACACCTTGAATTAATTAACGTTAGACATTAACTCCAATGGATGCCGCCTCAGTGATGTAGAGATTAAGCGTTCACGCGCGAAACCGAGGATCCGGTGTTCATCTCGCATGTGTGGAAGTCATGGATGCGCACTGCTGATGAGTTCCATACTAGTACAAAAGTCCTCTTGTGACTAACACAGAAGAATCAGCTTAATATAATATCCAAAGCAGTAGCCTCAATAATTCTTCGACGTCCAGCTAGTGCTCGTAAGGTGCGAACTCAGTAAAACTATTATGATTTCTAACCCGGACGTGGTTGATCAACTATTTGCGTTTCCTCAGATTCCGGAGCAAAGACATACGAATGTCTAAGTATTGTTGTATTTCTTGACCTAAAGGCGGTGTTTGACTCTGTTGATTGGCAAATAGATTGATGAAATAGTGAATCTTCATTAACTGAGGTGGTTATGACATCCGATCCATGAAGTGATTTGCAGTTAAACTGAGCCATGTTAACTGGTTTAGACTACTTGTAGGCCAATGCAAAAATTAATGATACCTTTCAACAACCTGACTGTTCATCATTTAATATGAATTAATTTTCAGGTTGCTGTTATTGTAGCTATGGCTCAAATTGGCAGCTTTGTACCTTGTTCATATGCAGAAATTATGCCAGTCGATGCAATTATGGCACGTGTTGGTGCTGCTGACTATCAATGTCGTGGTGTATCTACGTTTCTTGCTGAAATGCTTGAAACGTCAGCTGTTTTACGGGTTAGTGTATTTGTTTATCGTGTACACATACTATTTATGATGTATATATCAACACTTTGAAAAAAATAGCACAATTCTTCAATCTTTGAATAGTTAGATTTTTGATGATTTCAAATGACAGAGAAAAAGTATACAGCTGAAATGAATGCTTTTGGCGTTGTTGATTCGCTTTCAGCTAAAAATGATTTAATTGCTGTGCTTCACTGTGCTGCCTGCACAACCTTATCCGAGCTTTGTCAGTTTAGTTGTTGCAAAAGCATTAAATCATTTCGTTCTAGTGTTCCGGATTTGTAAATTGTTTCTCATCATCTCCATATGTTGTTGCCTTCATGTAGTCAAACAAATTATAAAAATGTGTATTGTATTAAATAAATGCTTGCAATTTTCTTTTCATTAACTGTAAAGGGATAAAAATAACTCCATATTAAATTCTCATTGTAACTCATCTTGTCTTTTTATTTCTCTCTCTCTCTTCCTTTCTCTTGTTGTCTGTACATTAATTGATTGATGATTTAAGTTGAATTGTGATTAAATATTTTCAATGAGAAAACTAAGAAGAGAATTTCAATGCTTACTGTGTTATTTCATGATCCGTGTAAAAAAAAATTCATTTGATCGTTTTTTTTTCGGATCATTCACTATATAAATAAAAAATTTCAGTCCTATTAATATTATTTATTAATATCAGAAGTTAACACTAACTACAGACTACTACTACAACTACACCTCCAACCACACAAACACACCAAAAGTAAAATTTTATTTCATGTACAATAAATCATTGTCACTTTTTGGTGGAAATAACATCCACCGGGTTGAATTTTTAACTTTTCTAACCCGCTACTTACAATATTACTAACATTTTTAATGAAAACTGACAATTAAGACAAGAAATAGCAATCCCAATATACTTTCAGCATGGTAATATGTTATTCATGGCTAAATTAATGAATGAAGTGATTAGTATTTGATGCATACATGTAATAGTTGATTAAACCGTGTTTTATTTCTCGCTTAAATCATTGCACTGATTTTAATTAGCATACATACTACTTTTTATCAACAGTAGCAGTAGTAGTAGTAGTAGAATATTGTTGCACGATTTATTTTATGCGGACTGTATAGTAATAAAATGAATAAAGATTATGGAATTTTCGTAAATTTAAGTCACGAACTGGTCTTAGCTGGGTCCATCCTTGAATATTTCGTAGCTCCTTCAATTCCATACGTGACCACTGAACCTCCAGACTACCGAACTGACATTCATTTGTGTTAATGTCTAACTTCAATTTATTCACATTATTGCGCCACCTTTATCCATCTTCTGCGTTAGGTAACTGTCTCGCGCTTAACAAGGTTAGGGCTAGTGTGACGTTGACTAGTAGGTAGATGGGCATATGAATCTTCGCCAATTAAGATAGTTATCATATATGTTACGTATACCAGATTGCTGTTTACTCGCTGTTCAGTGTTTCCTCTTAGTATCAATGTAGGCTGAAAGGAAGATGGAGATGGTCAAATTAAGATCTTACACCTACCTGTCTACATAATTAGTAACCATAATGGTTGATTCAGTCTATCTGGTTAGGCTCTGCGAGATCAGCACACTCGGTGGCTGTGAACTTTTCATGCTTAAATCCATTCACTTCTTGTCTTCTTTTTTCTCACATTCCTTCATACAGACTTTTACACTCTGTATTTTTCAACCACGCTCTTCATACCTAGCCCTTCACACTATCATTGCTACAGCATTATTTCAATCTCTTTCGCTACTTGTCTCCTTATTTTCATTTCACCATGCTAATTTGATATCGTAACTTAGGTCAGCGCACATCTGTGTCTGGTTCTGTATTAATAATGACTAATTGACTGGGTTTTAAAGCATTCACTTCTAATTATTTGTCGTTCTGTAACTATTCGTACAATCGAAATATATTGAATAATACTAGTAATATATTACTTCGTAGTTTCATAAAATAATGCTTTTGTTTTTTGTTGCGTTGTTTCCCCTCCCCGCCCCCCTCTCCACTTAAAAAAAACAACACTAGTCGGTCACATCAAATTCTCTTGTCATTATCGATGAATTAGGACGTGGCACATCAACATACGATGGATTCGGTTTAGCATGGGCAGTTGCATCATTTCTAGCTAGTCCAGAAGTTGGTTGTTTCAGTTTATTCGCTACACATTTTCATGAACTAACCAGTTTAGCATATCATATGCCTAAACGTGTTGCTAATCTACGAGTTCTATGCGATGTGTCAATTAATGAGGAAATAAGTGAAAATAAAGAGTCTGCGGCAAAAGTTACAATGTTGTATAAAGTTGAACCAGGTAAGTAATTTTATCAGTGATTAAATGGATTCGGTAAAAAAAAACTTTTCGATTGTTTTAGTGCATCTTCCATATCGTTTAGTTTGACGATCGGGAAAACTTATTAATGGTCAATAATAATTGTGTACTAGATCATGTATTTCCACTTTGTTGATTGTTCATCACAATTTTTTGTTATTGATAGAAAATTCCCAGTTTTCTTTTCACACCATCCGTAAATTTTATTTGATCAGTTTACTGCACATTTGATTTTAACATCGATTTGTCATTGGACCTGTTTTGTTTCTTGAATTTTCAAAGTATGCTGTTTCGTAAAAATCCCTTTATCAAATATACATTCGATGCTTTGTTAATTTTTCTGTTGATATAAATGATCAAAATGTCGTGCTCCATAACTTGTGGATGGAACAGTTTCAATTTTCTCTCTGACTGCATAAATTGTAATGTGGTGATATCTAAGGTTCAATGAACAGAATAGGGTTTTTAACAAACTCTACAATTACACACGATCACTCGGACTAAACTAAGCTTAACTCATGGCCATTAATCGTTGACCATCATTGGGGATTCCTGTAAATTCCTGGTCGATGCCAAAACTCAGAGCCATTGATTGTAGATGAATTAGCTTTAACTGAGTTATTAGAAAATATCACGATTATTTTTTAAACTGTCAAACCAGAAATCATATTCTGTCTTTCAATCGTATATTTTACATGTTTTATCCCTATTCTGTTCTATTTCTTAATAATTTAGGTGTATGCAGTCGTAGCTACGGTCTAGATGTTGCTCGTCTAGCAGGCCTACCTAAGGAAGTAATTAAACAAGCTGAATATCAAGCGTCAAAAGATGAAGAGCTTGAATCGATTTGGTTGAAATTAGATCAAGAATACTCCAGGAAACATGAAGATGAAACAGATTTTGTTTATGTAAGTAGTTGACTGTTTTTTTTCGAAAGAACAACTGTGTTTTCCTACTGAAAAGTAATGTAAAGGACTCGTATTCAAAAAAAAATCGTAATCTACCCACTTCTTTTCAGATTTTGCAAAACTTGTTAAGTAGGTATCATGAAAAATTTTAATGTGATACCATTGTTCATATTAACAAATAATTTCTTTCGTTTTTTACATCATCTATACTGATGAATAAACGTTTTCGGTGCTCTCCATGCATTGCACTAACTGAAGAGAATATGATCAATTTACATTTCCTTTATTTTAATTTAAAGCCGTCTAATTATTTATGGATTTAGATCGCGAACATATTGAGATCAATGGTTAGTTGTTTTCCGATTAACATTTTTTTAGCGAGTTAGTTCTCTCCGGGTTGGGGTCGCTAACCACACGCCCAACTCACGTTTATCCGGGTTTAGGACCGGTAGTAGCCGCAGGGGGCTCGAGGCGCGGATCAGCAAAGCAAGAGCTGTATTTCTGCAGTTGAACAACATCTAGAACTCAAAACAGTTATCAACCAACACCAAAATCAGAATTTTCAATACAAATGTCAAGACAATCCTACTGTATGGGGTGGAAACGTGGAGAACTACCAAAGCCATCATCCAGAAGATACAAGTATTCAATAACGGTTGTCCATGTAAAATATTTCGGATTCGTTGGCCAGGCACCATCAGCAACAACGTACTGTGGGAGAGAACAAACCAGATTCCAGTGGAGGAGAAAATCAGCAAGAAGCGATCGGAGTGGATAAGACACACATTGAGGATGCAGTCAACGGCGTCACAAGACAAGCCCCCCTTGTAACTTTCACGGTCAGAGGAAAAGAGCAAGGCCAAGAGACACACTAGGCCGAGAAACGGAGGCAAGCATGAGAAGAATTAACAAGAATTGGACAGGGCTGGAAAGGGAATCACAGGACTAAGTAGGTTTGAAATGCTTGGTTGGTGGCCTATGCTCCATTGTGGGTAACAGGCGTAAGTAAGTTATGGTCAGTTGTGGTGATTTACAGGTTAATGTTTTACTGTTATCTGACAACTTTGAAGCATTTTTCTTGTCAAACTATTGTTAAAGATGACATTGACAATGGGTCATTATCAAATTATTGATATAAACTATAAATAATTATATTTTTCACATTTTATTTAATAACTTCATTTTCATTGTCTCCCTTAATCTTTATTCTTTCCTTTTTTTAAAAAAATTTTCTATACGTTTATACTTGTGTGTATATAGAATTCTCCAGCTGTATCAATTGCCAATGAACTGTGCCCGCGTCTTGTAGAAATATTAGATCATGTTATAAATGAAGCTGAATTGGATAAGAATTTATCGACTGATAAGATGAGTTCAACGATTGCTCATTTGACACGTGAACTTTTACTAGAGAAACCAAATAATTTACCAACTGATTACTTATTAAATTTAGTCAAAAATTAAACGGATAAATAACAAAACAAAAATAAAACAGATTTTTCACTATTGAACAATTATTTTATTATTATAATTATAACTATTGAAATTTTTTGTTGAACTTATTCGGAGTATATATTTCTCCATGCCTTCTTTTTATATACGTTTCAAAACTATCAAGATTTCCGTACACATTTTTTTCATTCAAAGTTTTCTATGTATCTTAAATACTGACTAGGCAAATTTATCATAAATCTTACAATTACAATGAATTCCTTTTGAATATCGCAAATCAAATGAAGTTAGAAATATCAACAAGTCGATGTTAACTCTGTGGCCTTAAAGTTGAACTGTCTCTATGAAACCTGAAATCTCAGGGTTTGATTCTTGGCAAGGTTATGGAATTACACAACCAAGGAGTCCAGTACTGGGATAAAATAGTTTTCCAGTGTGTCTTGATTTATAATGGTTAAGTAACTTCAATCAATACATGATACAGGCAAAAAATTATACTTCTGATAAGAAAATCATAACTCGTAGAGTTGACTAAATAGTGACATGATGCTTTCGATGCATGTGGATTCAGTTGGCGACTTAATTAAACCTGTTGTCCGTCCTGAGCTCTCCTTTCCAGTTATCGCCAAGTGTTATTCCTAAATTTGATTTTCCCTTCCAAATCCAAGTGACATATGTTCTCTGGTGTACCTCTCCTCTTTCTGTCCCAAGGATTTCAATTTATAGCTCGTTTTGTGATTCGTATTGATGATTCCTTATCCATCTGAAGTTTATTTTCCTCATTTTCTAAATACCAGTTTGTTCTCTAACATAGTAGGTTATTACTAATAGTCTTTGCCAAAAATATCTGGACTATCTTACGTAGACAGCTATTTGTAAACACCTGCAGCTGGCACGTTATCTGGTCCTACTGCTTTACCATCCCTGATTTATCTGACAGTCTTGCTAGTTTCTTCGATTGTTGTAGTTGTATCATTCATTGGGAAGTCTGTGTGTGCTGCTTTGATGTTCAGTAGGTTAAATGGAGCTAACCTATTAAAGAACTCTTCAAAGTTCTTCCCCACTTTCTTATCAGCTTCATAGCTTCCCTTCGCTTTGATTTGCGTATGTATATTTTGCTACGGATCGTGGTGTTTTTACAAGTTTATTCAGTAACTAAAATCATGAAAAGATCTTTTTGCGAGATACGGCTTGTATTTAGCAACATACTCTTTACCGTCAAAGACTAGATGGAAATGTAATTGGTTACCATTTACTGGTCAATGAATGCAAATAGCATAATCCGAGGTCGGGTCGTCTCTAACCTCAAACGTCTTGCTGCGGTAGAGTGAAGAGAGTTTGGTCTTCCTCTCGATATGCTCATATAACCACAAATATTGTTATGCTCGTCACTTGATATGCTTGAAACTATTACGAGCTCACCTAAATCTATAAACGAAAACGAGATAATGAACCAGTGACATGGTAGGCTACTCTGATCCGTTGCCCCAACTAACTGACGAAAAAGTCGATATGGCGTAGAAAGTGTATTCTACAAACACCCAGCAAACACAGTGATCTCAAGCACACAAATCGCGTTTATTTATACATCACAGAAACGTCCTTGAGAGAGTCGCAAACATAGCACACTAAAACAACACAGCCAAAGATTTTCCCGGTGGGAAATGTGATCTCAAGGTTAACTGATCAGCCCATGAATAAAATCCATAATTAAGGCTTTCATCAAGCGACTTCTGGGTATATAAAGTCCAGACAGACAGACACAACACAGAACTTCGTACGTAACTACATCAGTTCAGGTTGCCATAACACATCAGCACAGAGACACAATTGTCTGTTCAAATCCAAGAGTGATAGAGATAGTAGAAGTATTAGAGAGTAGTGGAGAAGATTAGGGAGCGAAGATATGATTCGAGGAGTATAATTCAGTGAGATAAATTTAGAAGGAGAAAGGTAGAGATTATGAGGAATTCAGAAGGTTAGAATTAGAGAGAACACAAAGAGTGGATGCTCCTGCACCACTGCAAACGATTCTGAGCCATGTCATTCAAGGTCTCTAACCATCGGTGACTATCGTCTCGCGGACTCCAACCACGTAGCCTACATCTACCAACATGACTCAGTCCACTTGTCAGCGACTTAATGGATTTCTGCCATGTTTTGGTTTGGCCGCCCTTAGCTTTCTTCCAATCTACTCCTACACCACAAAACATAGCCCGTCGCGGCAGTCGGTGGTTAGCCAGACGTAACACATGTCCCAACCAACGCAACTGATGGAGTTTCCCTACTTCATCTATTGATTTACCGTTCCTACCTAGAACTCGTTTCCTAACGATATCATCGCTTACTCGGTTGTGCCACGATACACGAGTATTGCTTCTGAGACATCGATGATCGAAGACTAGTAACCTACGGAAGTCCTCTAATCTTAACAGCCATGTTTCGCATCCGTACAGTAGGACGGAGCGAACTGCTGCACAGTACTCTCGTCCGTTACTCAGCAAACGGATATCTCGCCTACGCCATAAGTGACGCAGGTTGGCAAAAGCCAATCGAGCCTTCTGTATCCGAGCTGAGATTTCGCCAGTCACCAGGCCATCAGCACTGATGAGACTCCCCAGATAAGTGAAGTGATCAACACGCTCGACTACTTCACTCCCTATCACTAGATCATGTGCCGATGAAACCCAATCTTGAAGCAACATTTTGCATTTCGAGGGTGAGAATCGCATCCCGAACATGCTTGCATTATTGCTTATGGTAGTCAGAAGACTGCAATTTGTCAGCGTCTTCACCAAGTAGGATTATGTCATCGGCATATTCTAAGTCAATTAGCGAGCCACCTGGTGGAAGGTCAACCCCTGAAAAATCTGACGAGCTTAATGCTAACTCTAAGAAGATGTCTACGACAAAGTTAAACAAGAATGGAGAGAGTGGACAGCCCTGACGGACACCACTTGATGTAGAGAATTCAGATGACAGTTCGCCATATGCTCTCACCCGACCAGTGGTGTTCGAGTAGAGTGCTTGTATAAGGTTAATGTACTTCTTTGGTACACCTTTCAATGACAGACACTGACACAGAACCTCACGATCCACTGAGTCGAATGCCGCCTTAAGGTCCAGGAACACGACTATTGTCGGACGTCTAAATGTGTGTCTGTGTTCCAGGACCTGTCGTAGTGTGAAGATATGGTCTATACAACCACGTCCATATCGAAAACCAGCCTGGTTTTCTCGAGTCTGCTCTTCACGAGCTTTCGTTAAGCGTCAAAGTATTATTGAGGCTAACAATCTGGAAACTATATTAGTTAATCTTATTCCCCTGTGATTGTCACAAGATTACTTTTGTCCTTTCTTATAAATTGGGACAATCAGTGATTGAGACCAGTCGGATGGGATTATGTCCAGTTTCTAGATTCTACCTAAGATCTCAGTCAACCTAGCTGCTAAAACTGGACCACCATCCTTAAATATCTCAGGGGTCAGTCTCTCAGGACCTGCAGCTCGCCCGCGCTTTATTTTTCCTAACGCTTTCTCAACTTCGTAAAGCCTTGGGGGACTTAGGTCGATTTGCCACTCAGGATGATTGGAGGTCGTGGGTAACCGAAAAGTGGCTCGAGGCCAGTTGAACTGATCCCTGTAGTGTTCTGCCCATCGATCCAGTTTCCTGGATTGAGAATAAATAATAGTCCCACCATAGTCTCACACTAGAATTCTTATTACCAGTTTCCATGATAAGTCGGAAAAGTTGTTTACTGTTGCCGATCGCCGCTGCCTTTTCCATTGCTTTTGCTTTCGCTAACCACCACTGTTCACGGTCATTACGTAGGCTTTTTATAAGTCTGCGCGTAAGCTGACCTCGTTCATCATGTTCAGAGCCAGGTGGGGTGAGTTTTCGAGCCTCTATCAGTTTGGTGGATGCTACAGAGATCCATGGCTTCATCCCAGCCTTATGGTTTACCTTGCTAGCAGATGTCACTGCTGTTTCCACAGCCTTTTGATATCATTCCAAGCTGCCTTCGGATGGGAGTCGCTTAAATGGTCGCCTAACTGTTTTTCTAGTTGTTCCTCGAATATTTTCTTAGCCTGATTATCATTAAGTAAAGCCCTAAGAGGTTTTCTTGTGATATTTTTCTGGCGTCCAGTGAGCCTCAAACAAACAGTAGGGAATGATCTGAATCTAAACATGTGCCCTAGAACGAGTGACAGTCCTCTATCGAACCGACTATCTACAGGGATCCAGTCTATGAGGGCTAGTTATGCCCTACGACTCAATGCTATGTCTACACCAGCGAGACCCCGGGAAGAAGCATCAGTGCTACCGGATACACGAAGAGTAAATCGGGCTGCTTCCTCGTTTTCACAAGGCGAAATCAGATTAATTATTTTACCAGGATCCTGTATGCGCGTTTCGAGGACGCAGCATACATCGATTGCGCGAGATTCTAAAGTTCTAGCTAACGAAGCCTGTTGCTCTATTAGACATATTATACGTCCATCAAATGCTCCAACATGTAGTCTAGAAGGGATTTCAGGAGACTAGAAATGGCGTTTCGTGAACTCGCATCGTTTGCATTACCTGTGCAGTGTGATAAAGGAAGGTGAGAAGAGTTAGATTAGATTAATGTTGGTCTTAGAGACCTGGGTGCGTGACCGCTGAGCCCAAGGGACAACTGCTTGAGGCCGGTCACGCACGACCTTTTTATGAAAGGTTTTTTGAGGATTAGCTCCGCTCTTGAGAGCCCTTGGTCGGCACCTTTACCGCCGGAGACGGAAATCCATGAGGTAAGGTGAGGTGTGACACTTTTAGGGTCGATCTTTTCTAACCCTTCCTTCTTTATGAGAAGTCAGCAGCGCTGCAGATGCTGGTTATCCGAGGGAAACACCTTACTGCTGTCACACCCCCCTGCAGTCAGCAGTACGACTTCGCCCTCAGACCTTGGGTAGCTGCTTTTAGTCTCATCGTTCTCCATGGTAGAACCTTCAGGAACATATGTTCCAGCCAGTATAGCTCGGTTGGGTCATCACGATAGGCAAGCCCGACCACCACGTCAAGGTAGCAGCTACGGTCGAGGTATATAACGTCCCCAAGATATATAAACACTACCAGGGAATTTTTAGTCGCTCACTCTTGGCCGCGGTACCTATCAAGTTGAGGGAATCGAAAGCGAATATCTGGCGCTTAAACTGGTTTGATGTATACGTAATATCTATACAGGGGA